GGCTGCGTGCCACAGGTGTCAGTGGAACCGGCTGGGCTTTGTACCTGCCACAGTAGGAGCTGTCCTTGTCACAGCGCGCTTGGGGGAAAACCTGCCGAGGGGAGCTCCGACACCAGGGTGCTGGGTCTCCCACCCTCTCTTCCTTGTGCGCTTTGCCTCCGTGTTGGAGCACAGGCAGTGCCTTACCTGGGACAGCTGCTAAACACGTGTCTGTTTATAGTTTCACATTTCGGATAGAAAATCTACATCAAGTGTAGATACAATAACGTAGTGTAATAAGAACTACTAGAAAACGTTCCATAAACGTAAATTTTACACTTTCCTAAAGGTTATGTCATTATTTACTACCTTTACAAAGCAGGGTAGGGTGTGAACAGAAGTGGTCGAAAAGTGTTTTAACACCCAGTCTAATGAGGTTATTTGTAAAGATGCATTAATTTGTGCATGTTGGTTCGGTTTTCTTTATTGGTCTATGCATAGGAGCCACCATGTTCCTGTTCCATGGGATTGCAATACTGTCATTGCTACAACATTTTTGCTCATGTTCTTTTATAGGTCTCATCAAAGAAAATGTTTTTTGTTTTTTGGGTTTTTTTAGGTAGTTACAGTAATTTTTATATTCTCCTGTAAAAGTATTACTCCAAAAAGTTGTTCCAAGATAACTTCTTCCAAAAAGGGAACTTTTTTCTGTTTTATTATTTTGGAAGAGTTTAGATCCACAAATACTTTTGTTGAATTCAGTCATCAGTCTAATTTCTGCCTTGGTATGTTGGTATGCTGCATCTTTTGCAGTCAATAGATGCAAGAAAAAGCTCATTCACACTCACAGTGGGCAGTTGCTAAAGACACTGTTGGTTTATCAGTGGTCATTTGCCAAACCCCAGCCTTTGGGCAGCAGGACCTATACACTCATAAACTGTTTGTACCTGAGGAACAGGATTGCCAGTGCTGCCACTTCCCTTGCCTGTCTGTACTCTGCTGCAACGCCTTTTCCCTTCTCTACTCCAGTTTGTACCCGGCAGTCCTCATTTCATTACTATTCCATTGGGATGGAAACATTCTGGACAGGTGGAAAACACTGACCCTTTGCACATGGATGGAATAGAGATTTGAACAGGAAGTTGAAAAGCCCTTCCTTTGTGGAACTCGTTTTCCACCCCAGTGCCTCAGAGATAGTCATCAGGAGCCACTTCATATCTCTTTGTGGCAAATGAGCTCCTGTGTTGACTTCAGAAACCTCTTTGAATTTGGTTAAGACGTTCAGAGGACCTTTCACATGACTCAGCAGCCATGGTAGAAACCTCAAGGTGTTTGCAGAGATTTCATCTGAATCTCTCCCAAAAGGCTCATCCTCTAGCACAAGGCTATCCATGTGTTTAGGATGTTGCAGTTTAGGGTCACATTTCTCAGTATCCATCAGGACCAAGGAAGTCTGGGATGGATCAAAGCAAAGCTCACTGCACTGATCCTGAAGACAATCAGGAAAAAGCAAATATGGAATCAAATTCTTCCTGGTGTGCAGAGACACAAATTAAAGAACTATAGAGAGCCACGTGCAGTATATATAGGGTGTTTGTGGAAATAAGCACAGAATATGATAAGTAAACTCGAATGCAAGGGAAATAGCTGCATATTTTCCCAGGATGGCCTGCTTTTTTCCAGCAGACAGTGTGTAGTGTCTGGACCTCCAAACAGAATGGGAGAGTTACAACTTTCTAGAAACAAGTCTCTCCTGATAACCTCTTGATAACCTTTTGCATGTATATCCTCTAGTTTAAGTGAAAACACGGGTACACAATCTACAAAGGAGACTGGATATCATGGTCTTATTTCTCCAGTATTAATTTGTGTATTTTATAATTGGAATTTCTCTCTGCTATAGCAAATATTTTAAATGAAAGTTATTAAATCACTAGTATGTTTAAAGGTCCGTAAGAATAATTAAAAATAATATTCCAATATATATGGAAAATAATGAGTAAATGCTAAATTTTACTAAAAGTTACATGAGTTTTCTGTTTTGTTATGAAACAGTGTTAGGATATGAACATGTTAGAATATTTTGTGATTATGGATGAAGTCAACACAGAAATCTTGCCCTAATTTAATGCTCCTCACATCCTGGACTGAGATGGTGGGTAAGCTTGCCCTGTAGGTAACCTTCCTTTGCTCTTTAAAGCTATCAGAACCTGTTTTCAGCTCCTTAGAATTTTGTCAGATTTGTATCGTTGGGAAGCCTACAAGAAAGATGGAAAACACTGTTTACAAGGGCTTGTAGTGACAGGGCAACTGATGGTGATTTCAAATTGGAAAAGAATGGGTTTAGGTTAGATATTGGCAAAATAATCTCTACTGTGAAGGTGGTGAGGCACTGGAACAGGTTGCCCAGAGAAGCTGTGGCTGCCCCATCCACGGAAATGTTTAAGGTCAGCTTGAAGGGAGCACTGAGCAGCCTGGTGTAGTGAAAGGTGTCCCTGCTTGTGTCATGGAAGTTGGAACTATATAATCTTTAAAGCCCCTTCGGCCCAAACTACTCTATGATTCTATGAAATTGCTGAGTGTTAGACACAGGCAAAGCTTTTCTGGAGTATTTCTGCTAAGTCAGTGTTCATCATTCCGAGAATATTTGAAAGAGTGCCTATATCAAAATCTATTTTTATTTAAGGCATCCTGAATAAGGAAATCATGATTTCAGTGGGAAATGTAGCCAATTCCCTCTGGTTGGAGTAGATATATTCTGCAGAGGTAATGTTTTTGCAGGGAACGTGACATCAACTTTTTGTGTGTTTCTCCATAAATATGATCATTTTATTTATTTCTGCTGTTGCTGAAGTTTAACAGCACTTCGGTTACACTCAGGTGTGTTAAAAAGTTGGTTTTATTTGTGCTATTGATGATGGAAGTTATTTTCAGTTGTTTTGCAGAATGAAAAAGAAAAAATAAAAAAAAATAAACCAGTGTTACACAACATAAGATTTCCAGACAATAACTATGGAAAATTCTAGAAAAGAGAAAAGGATACATTGGATTCATAAAGAGCTGGATGGCCTTTTAAAGTGATATGCATAATAATAAGAAACTTATAATTTGATCTTTAGTAGGATTTATAACTCTATTACAAGTGACTACGGTCAGCTGTTTCAAAGATCTATCAAATAATGATCTAATTAAACTGTGGAGGAAAAGAAAATAAAGACTTGTCTCATGTCTAGCCTGATTTATTAATGGAGAAGGTAACAGATATTAATTGTTTCAGGAGTGATTAAGTTACAGGAAAGAAAACTAATGAGGGTGTTATATGAAAGGGAGAATTCCAGTAAAAAATAGAGGACAGGAAGAAACTTTCATCATGGTTCGTAAACTGCTTGTACTGTAGCTTGCTTAGAAAATATTTCAATAACACACATGACTGACCTGTGGTTCTTCAAGGGCTTTTCTCTTACCCAGTGAAGGGTAAGTTCCCTGTAAGGTCAAATTGTATGGACATGAATAGCCCACAGGCTACTACAAGAAGCTCAGAAACACAGTGGTGGCACAGTCAATCACACTGACTTCCAGCTGCTCTTAGAGGATAGAAGATAAAGCTATTGTTACCTGCCTGGGTAGCCTAAAGCTGTATCAGATTAAATCTTCAGTCTTTGAAAGTATGTAGGATTCTCATACTGTACTGAAAGAGATAAAGTCTGTTCTTTCACTAGGGCATCTTCTCCATTTAAAGGTGAGGAATTACCTGATTTTGAAACTGTTTTATTATTGTGGTAATCTAGAATGACATGAAAAATGTGGAAGATAGTAAACTATCTTATATTAACAAACCAAAATGTTTCTAATCAGTGACACAATTGCACCATGCAAAACATGTGACAAATACAGACAAACCTAGGATCAAAAGCTAGACATCAGGGCATTCATATTCAAAATGTAACATTAGACAAATTTGCTTAGAGCTGCATCTTTGAATTCAATAGTAGCATAATTGCAAAATTATGCAAAATAATAAGGCAAAAATTAAGATTCACTGTATCATTCAGTATAACCCAAAATTCTGTTCACAGTTTGCATCAATTGGTATCCATTTTTAAAAGCAAGGTAAATAGATAGGTATGCTTTTAATGTCACTTAGATATAAATGTTCCCTTACTTTATTTTTCAATTATTTTGCTTCTCAAGCACAATTCTGAACAATGACAATTCAACATATTGCATGTAAATATGCCATTAGCAAGAGCTTTTGTTGTCACTGTCTGACAGAAGTCAGCTCACCTGATAGAACAGACTAAGAAATTCTGGCATTCTGCTTTATTTCTAAATGAGTTTGCGTTACAAAAAACCCCAAAAAACCTGTGATAAAGACTTCTTCAGATTCTGATCCTTCATTTTATCTATCAGAAAATTTGAGAGATTTTTTTGAGGTCACAAGGTCACTTAGATGTCAAAAAATATGTTTGGGAGTTGTATTTTCTTCATTATAATTTAGTATCTATCCATTTTAATTAATACTTTTGGTATCTTCTGCATGTATACATGTAAGCTGCATGCAGCTATCCAACTATCTCTCATCCATTTGAGGGAATTATTAATTTAATGCTGAGGAGTTCTGTGAAGTGGTAATCTATTCTGAAAAGACCTTTGGATATACCTTACTCCTCCTGAGGTAAGTTTTTTTATGTTCTCGGATATCTGACACCCCATTTGTATTCAGGTTTCATAAATATCAGTGGAACTAGAGAAATCAAAATCCAGGTAGAATGTATAAATGTATGCCTTCCCACTGGTTTTGCATCTGGGTAAATGCCTATGTGGTTATTACTGCATTTATTGTCTACTGAAAGAAGGAGAGTTATGACATAATGAATTCTATTTAATTTCAGAGTGCTGACATGCAAAGTTGTTGTCACTAAGACTTTAATATATTCTTTCATAAAATTAGTTTTGCATGATGTTGCAACATATCCTTGTTTTCCTTTAAAAATGCTTAACAACTTTTCTAAAATACTTGTTAGGCATTCCATCTTGATATTTCAAATACTCTTACTCCACAGTTCTTGAATGCTCTCCTGATGGACATCAGATCCTGCAGAGCCCTTACAGAAGTGTGGATTTTGATTCATCCCACCTCCAGCAATCAGCCATTCAGGATTTAATCTGTGACCATTCCCTAACACCAGGATGGTATCGCTTCATGATTTTTGATAAGCCTGCTGAGATGCCAACCAAGTGTGTGGAGGTATTGTTACAAATCATTTAATTCTGAGAAATACATATTTTGGTGAAGTATTTTTCAGTAGGATAGGTATAAAAGAGAGTGTGATTATGGGGAATGATGTGGAACAATACAAAGTTCCTATCTTCTCTAAATACTTGATTATATTAAAATGAGTTAACTGGAAAATTAAATCTTAAGCATTGAAAATTTTACACTGAATGTGCAATAGTAGAGCATGATAAATTAAATCCCTTTTAGAGCACTCAAAAGCTGTAATTTCCACTCTGTGCTAAAGAAATTTTCTCAGTGGCAGCGTAGCAGGGCTATCATGTTGTAAAACTGGAACTGTGTGATGGTCAGTGTGTTAGGAAGACCATGTGAGAGCAGTATAAAGGCTTGCAGCCACATGAACCCAGTAATTGTTGAGCTTTTAAAGTCATCATGTCACAGAAAAGAGATTCTCCTAAAGTGACTTGAACTAACAGAGCTAATTGAATATTAGTTGCCTTATCATCTGCCAGCCTCCAAAGACTCGAGAATTACTTGAAATATTTAATACTTCAGATGTCTAGTTCTTTATTTCAGAGCTTATTTGTTGCTTTATTTTGGAGCTCTATTATATTCTAAGGAGATACATCTTTTTAGTTGCCCCTTTTAAAAACATTTCCTTCCTTAAAAAAATCTAAAAATGTCATTAGAGTATTGTAGCCTTGATTTTTCTAATGAATTGAAATTTCCTTGTCACAGTCTCATAAAAATAAGCTAAAATCCTAAACTAAGTGCTTTTAAATGAACACAAACCAGCTTAAACATACTAATGCATCAGCTGCCCACATCTCTTAGAAGAAATCCAGGTTAGTTGAGCCTTCAGTTCATGGCAAAGGGCAGATAAAAGGTGACAGCTTTAACATCTCTAGTTGATACTCAGTGTACTTCTGCTCTACCCTGTGTTTGCTGTGCTCTGATGGCATCCACACAGTCCCTGTAGGTTAATGGTGCAAAGCAGCTCGCTAAGCCAAAACACAACTGAGCTTTTCTGAGAAAAACACTCAGATGTGGCTTCCAATTAAGTTCTTCAGGCATGAAATTATAGCCTGTCTTTAGAAACAAACACAAATTTACTAGGTTCAATAAAGGATTTAAGGCTCTTTTGTGTGCATTGGTATTCAGCCTTGAGGAGGAAAGTCAGCAATCCCTCTGTTTTATACTGGCTGAACTTTGCTACAAGCTCATGAGAGAAATTAACTACATATGTACCTCTCATTAAAGCACAGCAACAGTTTGATGTAGCGTTAACCATTTCCTGATGTTTTTCTCTGGTGCTGAAGATGAATCGCTGTGGGACTCAAGCCCCTGTCTGGTTGTCTCTGAGGGAGTCAGAGTCCATGCCTCGACCTGGTGAGATGAAGCAGTTAACAGCTTGTGCTACCTGGCAGTTTTTCTTCAGCACTTCAAAAGACTGCTGTCTTTTCCGGATCCCTGTCAGGGTGAGGAACTGCGGAGAGTTCTTTGTTTACTTACTGCAGCCCACCCAAGGATGCATGGGGTATTGTGCAGAAGGTGAGAAAATGCATGCTCTAACTCAGCCAAGTGTGTGTGTGTGTTTATAAATAAGTGTTTTTCTGCTCTATACCTGTCTGATATTTGGTGCAGTGGAAATGTCAGGAAATAGTTTTGCTAAAATTTCTTGCAATCCTTACTTTTAATATTGATATGATAGAAGAAATGATCTGAAATGGTGAGATTGGTTCACTTCACTCCTCTTTAACATACATGTAGCATTTGACTAATTTTCAAAGACAGAAACTTAAGAATTGAAATCTTCCATATAATGAGGTGGGGTTATAAGACACGTCTAGAAGTCAAAATTCAGTGTACCAAAGTTCAGTGTAATTCATGGCACTCAGACTGTCCAAATAGCTATTACTGAACATGCATAGAATTACTTATCAGAATAAAATTTGTCCTTAGAACTTGAGCAAACTGTGTTTATATCAATTATTATTTAGCACTATTAGGAATATTTTTGTTGTTGTAATTCTTATAATCTTTCAGGAGCTTATACATGTTGTTGCTAGAAGAAACTTCAGCACAGAAATGCTCTACTGATACACATTTTATTAGTACTATGAGAAAGGAGACCTTTTGCAATATCTCCTATAGTCTTGGGTGCTTGTGCTGCAAAAATATGTTGGTGTTCACAGCTCAAAACTTCAGTATTTCATTATTCATGACAAATTTTTCAGATAAGCAAGCCAGGGTTAAATCCTTACAGTTATAAATACTGTGAAACAGTGACAAATCAGTGTAGTAGGAAATTCTTATAACACATATATAATTAATATAAAACACCATTATGAAACTACTAGCAGTATTTTCATGCATGATATGCTGTTTTGCTTAGAGTCATAGTCTCTGTTACTGACTACTTTCAAAAGCTTAGTAGCAAATCTGTCAGTGGGCTTTCTGGCCCATCATTATACCTTTAGATCCAATTGTTAAGACATTCTTCAAGAGTTCAGCAAGCATGTGCCTGAAGCAATGAAAAACTCCTGCACAATAGGACTTGCATTTACTTTGGATCTTGGTATATGATGAGGAAATAAGATATAAGACCATAGCTAGACAGGAGCTAGAAAATTTTTACTACCTCAAAACAAAACAGACAAAAAGCATAACTCTTATTTGCCTCTACTGAGCACTGTAAATCTGAAATACATTTTGAATTTAAATGCACATATTTAAGATGATGTTGTCATATGAAGTACATCGTACTGTTGTACTGCTTTTTGTATCTAGGTTACCATGTGTGCTGTGTTTTCTCTTTAACACTTGACAGCCATAAATACCTGATGCAAATTTTCAGTCTGTCCTCTACGTGCTAAGGAATTCAAACATTATACCACTGAAGCGTAGAACAGCAAAGTCTGCTCTTCATTCTTTTTGGTGAATGGGATTTCAAGTGTTGCTGCCGCCCTTCTGATGTAGTTTGAGTAGAGTGACTAACTGGCATTTTTATATTTAAGTCAAGTTCCACTTACTTTTCTATATCATTCAAAATCCAAAACAATACCAGTGCACAAGCACTTTTTCTTAGGCTTCTGTCGGAAAGGTGATTTTTGCAAAGCAGTCTGCACTGTATTTATCTGTCCAGGGTTCTGGTTAAAGACTAAGTGTTCAGATGTGAATTTGGAGAAGCAAAATATATATATTCAAGAGAATAGTATAATTCCTTTTTATTCACTAGCAACATGTGTAAGTATTGGCTGAGTGCATCAGCAGTAAAAGTTGTAGAGGTGGTGGAGTGTTCTGTACCCTTCCTCCTAGATGATTTCCAGCACAAGACGTTGTGCTCACTACTCTCACAGCTGTATGTGAATCACATTACAAGATTGCTTCTATTCTGAAAATTTGCACTTCAGTTAGTGTTTTGTGACATTTGGTCTATAATCTAAGAGCACTGGTACTTGTACTCTGTATATGTGTGAATATACAATGTAAAAACCCTTTATAGTTGTTTCAGATGCAAGGCCACAGAGTTGTGATCCTGAGGAAATGGAAATTGAAGGTGTCTGTAGCAGTGAGTATTTTATTTTGATTTTCAAGGTTTTCTGTGCATCTGTGACCCAATAGTGTCAACATTTAGTGACATTCTGACTTGAATAAAAATGTGTTCGTGTTATCAGCGGTATTGCTTGGTTTGTTGCAAAATGAGCAGTTTGGAGATAATTTCAGACAAACTTAGATTACAAGTTCTTTCTCAGAATATTTTGAGTAGTTATCAAAATGTCAAAAAGTAACTGTAATGATGCTGAATGACAGATTACTTTGATTCTTTAGGAGTAAAATATTATATATATATATATAATATATATATCTACAAATCGTATTGTCAGTTATTCTGTTCCTTTCTGAATAGCCTTTTTCTTTTCCTTTTTTATTTTTCCTTTCCCCACTTTCTTCATAAGTAGTGAAATTATTCTTCTGTAAGGCACATTCCTTTGCATATTGCTCTCTCCTGCCTGGTAAAATAATTAATTGCATTTTATTCTCTTGTTTATGTTTTTCATTTAGGTTTATATGGATTTATTTTTCCCCTCTTTAGCACCTTCCTATTGTCTAGAATATAATCAAAAGCTCATAAAGAGTTTTTTCTCCATTTAATAATTATTAGAAGGAAGATAGACATGTTTCTTTGATTCTGTTAAGAAATTATGTAGTATTTCCACATAGAAAAAGGTAAATATTATTAGTGTATTCATTGGTCGGTGTCATTGTGTCCAATACTAATTTTATGCAGAATAAAAAGCACAGACCACACTTCTGTTTGACTAGGTAACCTGGCTCCTACATCATCTCCATCTGTGTCACCACCACTTCCATCTGTTCCTCAAGTTGTAGCAGAGATGATCAAAGGCAGCATCTACCTAAGGTGTACCTTTGGCATTCCTTTTGCAAACAGCTCTGTTGGATTCATTGTAACTTGGTCAAGACTTTCTCCTGAAGGTGTCAAAGAAGAGCTTACACATGAAACGGCAGTTCATACCTTCTCTCTTCTAGAACTAGATGGGATAAACGTCAGACTTGGAGACAGAGTATGTTAAAGCGTTATTATGATTTCTTTGTATATTTGTAAATATGGCTCAGTAGACACGAACAGTTTGTAGAGAGAGGTCCAGTACCTTGCTGTATAATTTTTCTTGGCAGAAGCCTATTGCCTTTATTTATTTACACCAACTGCCCATATGAAAGTGTAAGTATCACAGAAATATAACTACCACTACCTCTGAGGTTGTGAGACTAGTTGTCTCAATACAGTGCAGTGTGCTTCCAGGAGGTAAATTTTTGTTAGAAAAATGTCAATTAAGAGGATTTTTGGATGCAATTGCATCTCAGTGAGAAGCTGTAAGATAGAGAGGTTGTGGAAAGCTGTGTTGTTGATTCATTAGATATGTATTTTTTTCTCTGGATGAGCTGCTGCTTACTGATTTTGTGTCTAGAATTTATGTTTTAATCTCTGCCATCAAAAGCAGTATGATGCCTTACCTTCCATTGTACCAGAATGAAGACTTAGGCTCTCGTGGTAACTTTGGGAAGCCTAAACATTGGAAAATCAATGCATCTTTTACCTAGATATACCAAAATACAGATTATTTTTTCCTGCAGAAAATAAAAAACAAAAAACCCGTGATGGTATGCATATGCATGTTCAAGCCAAAGCCAGGCTTATGGTTGGCTTATGGACAGCAATAGCAATTGTTACTCCCCAAAAGTCATTTGGGAACTTTGTGAAGACTTGCCTGAAAGTGTTGGTTTGGTGACAGTCAAAAGGAAAGGCACAATTACAAGCTACCTCAAGCTATGAATTACTTTTTCTTTCAGGATCAGAAATGCTGCATGTAGTCAACACATCCCAAAATGGATACAGCAAAATAGAAACAAATGCCAAAACAAACACCAAACCAAAGCAAAACCACAGTGTCTAGTACCATGAAACTGATTAGTGGATGGAATTCACACTGAGTTCCTCATCTTGAAAAAAATTATCCAGATCTATAACAACAGGAAAAACATAATCTAAAATCTGGTGGTCACTAGTTAAAAGGCAAAAAGTAGGAAATGGGAAAAAAAATAGTAAACAATATGTAAACAAGTGTAAAATATATTTTCATAGATATCACTGGATGCAGAAATGCTCCAGAAAAGGTTTTTTAAGTATTCATTAAATATTATTTGTATGCAGCCATTAGTTAAAGAAGTCTCTGCACAACTGGTAGAATATGCCAGGAAAAGGTCCTAGGATGCTCAGTCTCTTCCTGTTTTATTTTCTTTAGCTGTATTTACCAATTGCCACTGGCAACTGGTACCATCTGGTGCCACTAGAAGACTTGCCATGGTGAATCGTTGAACTGACCATAGTGGCCAAGTTTTGTCTTCATGTGACCACTTCATACCAAAAATGTATTCTGTTATTCTGGTTTTACCCTGCAGGTCTACTGTAGCAGTTCTTCTTTTTTCATGGAGAAGCCAGATATACAAAGCTCTTCAGTTGAGAGCAAGGAATTTTTTGCTGGAATTAAGGTAACTTTGTAAAAACGTAATGTAGTAGGAATTTTGGAATATTGCTCCAACAGTCAGTGCTCTGACTAGAAGGCACTTAAAATGTATAAACTGTGAATTAATAGAGCCTGTTGTCAGCTGAGGTGGACTTAAATTTGTCCAAAAGCAAGAGAGTCGCAGTGGTTTGTGCTCTCCCTAGGTACTCAAGGTGCAGGAAGGCTGAATTGGCACCTTGCACCCACAGTGCAGGCCTTGGTTTCCAGCAGCTGGAGCTGACTGGTGCTGTGCTCATAAAGCCTGAGGACACAGCCATGAGCCAGCCTGGTCTGGGCTTGAAGAGGGGTAGCTGGGAGCTGTCCTGTGCTGTGCTGCTTGGTCAGAGGCAAGCACCAAACTAGTTTTAGTTCCTACTGTGGATAGAGCTATAGGGACCCATTTGCTGGCCAAGAATGGGACTCCAGTCCCAGAAAGACAGACTGCATTTCATTAATTATATATCGGGTATAGTCCTGCTGACTTAACCTGAGCCTGTTTCTGTTGGATTGGGGCCTAGATTTCTCTCATGGAGGTGCAGTTCTGCAGTGTACCCTGCAAAGAGGCAATGTGTTCTCTTTGTTTCCTTGTGAGGCTGCATTCAGAACTCCACCCAGCCTGCCGAGCTCAGCTGTAGGCCCCTGTTACTGATCTTTAATTGAGTTTTTGATCATACATTTTTGTGATGTATATTGTAAGCTTGCAGAGAGGAATCCCAGAAGAAATACGGTACTTCCAAATTCTTTTAGAATTGTTACCTGTTCCTTCCTCCCACCCAGACAGTACATAAAGCTGTTTGTATCTTAGCTTCCAAGGGGTTACTCATTTTTGTGGTGAAAATGTGCTTTGCTAACTTCCTCCTTTCTAGCTAACCTTTTTTTCCTTGCCTTATCCTTGCCCCTTTACCCACCTCTTCAAGACTATGGCTGCTGTGTCTGCATCTTCTCCTCATGCTACTGCTCCTCAGCCCATGTAAATAAGCACTCCTAGCTGATTAGGAAGCAGTGCTGCAGTTTACTCACAAAGAGTGCATTTTAAGTACAATTTCTTCTGTGCTAGATACATCCAGAAACATATGATATATCAGAAGATGGGAAGGCATACAGACTGACGATAGAAAGTAGCATTCCTATTCCTTGTCCTGAATTTAGCCAGCTAAAAAGTGACTGCAAAATCTCACTAACATTAAACAGTGTTGATGAAGGTAAGTATTACCTTGATTTTGTTGCATTTTCTATATTTAATTATTTTTTTAATTTTTGTTTATTTTTATAAATACTGTGCTGGTTTCCAACTTCAGAGAAGTTGTTACACTCTAAAATACTTTCTAAAATGTTAAAGTATTCAGAGTCTGTATGATGCTGCTGAAAATATTAAATAATTACTTGTTGAAGTTTTCAGGTGTTTGGGTAGACACTGATATCAGAGCCACATTCTTTAACTTGAATAGACAGAATACTTTAATACTTCTAAAGTTTATAATTCAGGTAATTTTGTTTACCTGTTGCATTACAAGTATTATGTATGGAGTCACAAAGTCATAAAAAATTTATTACTCTTATAGCTATTCTTTGTAATATTTTCTCAAGCAGAAATCCTGTGAACCAAGAGGACCCTTGCCTATTCAGACAACCATTTTTTCACATTATCAAGCCTATCATGATTTCCATTTATCTATCAAACTGGGGAATCCAAAAACATTGTCTCAGGTGTGAATATGAAGAGGTAGAGAGGTTTTTTGCCTGACCAAACAAGAAACATGCATAATTATTTTTATTTATGAAAGTGTGTGTAAATAAGTTAGTATCTATATTAACAGTAGTATGGAGAATGTGGCTTATTTAGAGGAGGAACTCACTAATGATGTATTTTCTTTAAAACAGGTAAAGAGCAGTTAGGTCTAAACTTGGCTCTTTCTTCTTGTCATGTGGATCTTCTCCAGAAATCCTGCAATAATGGACTCTGTGGTCAAGCTGTAATTTATTTCACTGCTGTGACAGACTTCATGCAGGATGGAGACAGGATTACCAGAATTGCAGTCGAACCTATATCCAGTGAGAATTTCCTGTGGAATGGCTATGTTCCAGAAAGCACACAGGTCTAAAATCTTCATATTAAGATCTGTAAACTGTCCAGAAGTGTGGCTGGTGTTAATGAAGCTTTTATTTCAGTTGTGACTCGCTGATTCACACCAAGATTTATAAGTGGTTGATTTTAGTTGCTTTATTTTTTTCCTGAAATTCTGTGTTTTATTTGATTTTTTTTTTTTTTGCCTTTTAATACTGAAGTAACTACTAAGACTGATTAAAAAGTATAATATAATATACTTATTAGAATGTAAACTACTATCATAAGATAAATAATGTACCCGAGTGCATTTATTTCCTAACCTGACATGTTTTACAATTTTTTTCTTTATTTTGAAGATTACAGTTAAGGATCTACCCACTGCCTACTGCTACTCATTTACTGACCCTCATATAATTACTTTTGATGGAAGGTAATTAGGCTTGCTACTCTTGCTGCTCTTAAGTGTTTTGAGAGATTTTTTGGGTGGGTTTTGGGAGGTGTGTTTTTTTCTTTAATTATTTCTATATTTATTCTAAACTCTGATGATACAAGTATGCTGTAGTTTTCTGCAATTGCTCTGAGTGTTTTGCAATTTTTTTTTTGGCAATAAGGATAAATATGCTTTAGTTGGTAAAAGCTTGCCATTCATGATGAGGTTTGTAATATTTGCATTTCTAAAGGCAAGTTTTGTGCTTGTGGGAAGAGAATGAAGGAAATGGGCAAGAGGAATGGTAGGTGTGCAGTCTGTTGACTACAAGAAATTGAAATGTTCTTATATTAAATATGAACCATGATAAAATAATGGAGTAAACAAAACTTTTAATGTGAAGGTGTTTCCAAACAAAAGCATAGTTTCCCTATTTCTGTGCGTCAGTATCTGAATCCTCGTAAGGACCACATTATGAGAAGCTGTCTGCTGTCTGTGTCTCATTTTGCTGTGTTTATTAGTGGCATTGAAGGCAACTTATTTGCTACTGTCACTTGTACATCATTGGCCAAAAAGGATTTTGAAGTGAACACAGCTTTCTTAGCCACAGCTGGTTTTGGTGTGCTTTTTTATTACAAGGTATTTCCAATTCACAAAGGATGTCTGAACAAACACAGGTTCCACACCTGGGAGTTTTATATTCTTTGTTCAGCAGAAGCACATTTCAAGTGGCAGGGTGAGAAGAAGAGGATATGTTGCCTCCAAAAAAAGGGTGTTTGGCCCACACATGATAACAGAAGGGGAAATAAAAGTTGTGATTGGTTCTCTGATAGAATTTTGACTACTACTAATAAAGTGCATGGGCTTATTCTGATCTTGCAGTTTCTCCTTCAATGGAAGTGTTAGGGATGTCTTAACTGGGCATTGTAACCATGGATGCACTGTGATCAGGCTTTCTCATGTAGCAGTTTTACTGCAATGTGATCACTCTGGAAGCATGATGATACAGAGAATGAGCTGTCTTTTTAAGGATAATTTATGTTGGTACTTTAGTTTACAAACTGAGGAAACAAATTACCTACTGAATTATGGACAATCCGATGCAGTCCCAGTAGTGCAGCCATCTGTAGTTTGTCTGCTGACCCATTATACACAAAGCAAATTGACAGTCTACAATCAACTGTCAAATGCCATTTATAGCCAAGAGGCTATTAAACTTACAGCAAAAGTTTAGGGGTTTTCTTTCTTTTTTTTTTCCTATTTTTTTTCTTGCTGCAGAATCATTAAATTGGCTATTTTAGCCTTGCTTCAGGGGACAGATGGCTAACCCTAAGGAAAAAAGCAAGTTGCTATTTATGTTTTCATCTTAAATGATCATTGGGAATAAGCACTCCCCATCTCTATCTTAATAAAGCAGACCTTTTTAAAAGGATGTGACTTTCTAAATCATTTTGTCAAGGGTGCTTGTGCAGTTTTCAGCAGCTGCCTCCACATGCACATTGCTATGCATCTTATTGCTCTTGCTGCATAGGTGTACCATCGTAGAAACACAAAGGTTGAGAAGTACCCTCCATACACACTGTTGAAATCACAGAATGGCAGTAGCTTCATGCTTGTTTCCATTCACAGCCATTGTCTACATGTATTCCACTCATGCTCCTTCTTTTATGCTGTAAAAATAAGATTCTTTTTTTTTTTTTTTAATTTAGAGCTGTTGAGAGGAAGATATAATGACGTTTGCTCAGGTTAAAGCTGTGTTTTTCTCTGTGGGCTGTACTGTTTTTTCTAACTTGGGAAAATGAGTTTCATTATCAGTGTTCACCAATTATTAGAAATCTGCTTGAAAATGAAGTTGCTGACATGTAGTGATACAGTTATTTCACAACCAAAGTGATATCACGTGCTATTCTTTTGATTCCAGAGTCTATGACAATTTTAAAACAGGAACATTTGTTCTCTATAAGAGTACATCTCGAGATTTTGAAGTTCATGTTCGTCAGTGGGATTGTGGAAGTCTTCACTACCCAGCATCCTGCAACTGTGGCTTTGTTGCTAAGGAAGGAAGTGATATAATTGCGTTTGACATGTGCAGTGGTCAGCTCCATGAATCACAGCCACACTTGTCTGTAATAAACAGAGACACAACAGGAAGCAATGTCAGAATCACTGAATCCTACCTAGGAAGAAAAGTAACAGTAAGTGGTAAATAATTGCTTATAGAATAGGTAAGATAAAAAATCATGTTTCTCATGAGGCTATCTCCAATCGTTTTTAGGTTTTGTTTTCTTCTGGAGCTTTTGTTCGTGCTGATGTGAGCGAATGGGGAATGAGCATAACGCTCAGGGCACCCAGTTCCGATTACAGACATACAGTGGGACTCTGTGGCACCTTTGATGGAAATGCAGAGAATGACTATCACACTGCAGGTGGCATGGAAATCCCAAACGATGCTAATGTTCCTTTTTCTTTTATTAAGGAATGGAGGTAACAAAATGCTTCTCTTGATAAATCAAATGTCATCACTTTTGGTTTTACCTTTCCTTCACACTCTTTAAAAACTTGTCAAAATAATAAAAAAAAAATCTCCTTAAGTTTTAAATTAATATTAGAATGTCATAATTACATTCTATAATTAATTTAAGACTTATGCTGTAGAAGTATGAAACAACAAAGAACAAAAAGTTAATACTTCCATGACACCAAGAAAATAGTTCAGATGATAAAGTTTCACCTTTTCCTTTCTCACTAGAATTTTACCAGGAGAGAGCTTGTTTGACAAGACACCTGCTTCATTAACATCTTCAAGAAAAATTTTCTTCTGTGACTGTACACTTGAAGATGCCAGATTATATGAACCAGCAAACAAACTGGAGACAGTTACTCAGTCAGAGCCTCCTCTGTCTTGTAAAGATAGTGAAAATGGTAGATTTCTTTCTTTGATACCAGGACTGGATGTCACTGCTGAGTATCTTGGTCCTGCTGATCTTGTCAGGGGCTTAAAGAAACGTTCATCTACACATGAAGTGGATTCATCTACACTTCTGCAGAGGCAGAATAATCAAACTACACTTCACAAAACATCCCTAGTAAACTTGCATCTCTCTGCCATCTCAGTGGGAAATACTGGGACAGAAAAAGAGGGAAGTTCCAGCTTAGACATTAGGAGGAATTCTCACCATTACAACAGTCGTCTTCACAAAAGTCAATCTGCTACAAGTAGAGGGAAGCGCCAGAATTATTATGAATACCATCCAGTATTCATCTTCCAAAGTCTCAGCCAAACAGATTTAGAGAGATATAGTTATTTTTTCCCAGAGGACCATGCCACTGACACAGCTGAAAAGCTCCTTCCTTCTTGGCCCACACCTTCAGGCCTCACTGAATCTGGTGCTTTGTTCCTGTGCCAGCAGGCAATAGCTAATTCCAGCATAGGGAGATCCTGTGGTGCCCTCCTTGGCCGGCGCACAGGGGATGCCATCGATATGTGTGTTAAAGATTTGCTGCTGAAAGATGACCTCGGTTGGGCAGAAGCTTCCTTAGCTCTGCTGGAGAATGAATGTGAGAAAAGAATTTTAGAAGAAATACATTACAACCCACAGGAACTTGAAGAGTCAGTTGAGAGCCTACTTACTGCTTTAAAGTGTCCCAGTCTCTGTAGTGGTAATGGGGAATGTACAGAATGGGGCTGTGCATGTTTTCAAGGATACAGCTCATATGACTGCAGCATTCTGTCTGGTAAGTGGGGGGAAAATGAGATTTACCTCAATAATGTTCTCAGTGTTTGTGCAAAGTGTATTTGTTTTTCTGCCTTTCTCTCCTGCTTTTGTACATGGACAAGAGTTATTTAGTTACAGCTTACTGTAGCTATAATTATTTTGCATTCAGCCTTCTTGTTTCAAAGGACAAAACATGAGCTTAGTTTCTAACAGGTGAGATTTAAAAAGTGTTTCCACATGCTGTCTCCTTCAGGGAAAATATGCCACATTCATTCATCCCATAGATTTGTATAGTTTAAGTGATCCTGTTTACTAACTCTGAGTGGGATGATTTTTGTCTTCAGTGACGTTAGGTCTCTGTAAGTTAACTTTAGATGGGAAGAGAGCAAATTGGTGGTGAAGAAAAAAGAAGTACAGCAAATAGTGCTGGACAGGGTTTTTTTCATTTTCAGTAGGTAAGATATTCACTAAAAATTCAGTTGAACAATTACACTGAAAAAATATGAACAGTACTTCCAAAGTCAAAACTCTTTCAAAATAAAACCTGTTACTATTCTGGTTTGTATTTGGTGTTTTTGTTTTAATGACTTATTTAAGAACAAGTACAGAAAGAATAGAGTAATAAGAAATATTTGACTTCAAGAGGAATAAGATAAGCTGGTTTTACATCATAAAAACTGGTTTTGAGTGTTCTGATCTGTCAGTTTATTTCCTGAAATAACTTCCATCTGATACTTTTCTTCAATTTTTTTTTTTTTTTTAGTTTTTAATAAAAAATAATCCCTATATAAATTATTGCATAACTGTCTCCTTTTCGGTTCCTATTTCTAAGGCCTTAGTTTCATTTCAGTTTTATTCTGGAAATCTGATGTGAAGAACTGTAGTTGAGAAAACAAAACATATATTCACAAGCATTTATTATCAGTTGAAATTTAAAATTTCAGTTTAACAATGTAAAATGTTTCTGTTTATGCTTCCCTTCAGCTGGGTCCAGATTTCTTATTTCCATAGTTTTCATGGTTGGATAGAAAAGTAAACATTGCATAATGTAAATGCATATGAATGAGTTCTCATACTAGCATTTATTGTCTAATCTCTGCTTCCAAGACCAGGCTCCAGAAATTACAGAGCTGGAGAATGCTGGGCTCTGCGATATTCGACAGTATGAGTGCACATCAGTGAGAGTGTTTGGACATGGCTTCAGGGACTCATTGAACCTGAAATGTGAAATCATCAAATTGCAAGTAGGTCTCCCTGAATAGTGACAATTACATTTTAAACTTCTTATAGAACAAGGGACAAAATGTCAAACATATTATTCATTGATGTGGGTACACCCAAAGCTTTAGTGGAAACTAAAAGCAAAGGCATTTAGCACTTTGCAGCAAACACTCAAGACTTTGCAGGATTGCCATTTCCTCCATGATAAGAGAAATACAAAACATAATGGGAATGTTCAGCAGCTGGGAGGGAGATAAGAGCATACAGCAGCTATCCATCAGAAAAGGGCAAGGGCAGCCCTATTAGTAACAACCAGTACATCGTTGTATTTTTAAGTGCTTATGGAGGTGAATTGAAGTACCACTTCTTTGAAAAAGGACAGCAAGGTTAAAGCCATTACTAGATTTCTGTCTCAAATTTAATGCTTGAAATAGCCTTTTATAAACATAATAAATCTATTAGGAAAAGATAAAGGCGTTTTTGATATGTTGTCCATTTCCCAGAGGTAGAATACCATGGCTATTTAATGATATATTTCAGGTTTGAAGAGGAGATTAAAAAATGTTTCACTGTAAACTTAAGGGGAATTTGTGTAGAGAGACTGCTGTTGCTCATTCTTAAAAAAATTATTCAAGACAATATATAAGCAATCTACAAGTTGTAGCCTGGAATAAATGGTCAGCCATTACATGTTTTTATGCTATGTTAGACATGAGAACAAAAAAAGCTAAAACTGTATTTTATTGGTGTGATGATGGAGGAGGTGAGAGCTGGCAAAAGGGGAGCCATTCAATGGGAAATTTTGTTCCTGAGACAATAGTTTTCCTTAGCTATTTCCAGCAGATGCTGAAATTATTTTGACAGATTAGGCAATGCTGGCTATAGATTTTTCTTAAACTCAACATGTATCCACTCAGGTTGGCTTGAAATGATTGCTGAGAGTAAGTTTATGCTCCCCTTGTATTAAAGACTTTCAGACCAAGCTCGCAGTAAGACAATTATTGGGAGTTCACTTATCACAGTTTGAAATGTCTCCGTTTTAACTCATGGCAAGATACTCTGAAATCTCTCTTGGTGGTGCTGTATTTGACTTCCAACACAAAAACTTCCTAATTAGTCACTTTTAATGATAATCTCACTGACAAGAGCCATTTTACTGCTGTTAGCTGCAGTTGAGGAGAAGGCTGTGGATTTTTTCCTTGAGAATACAAAAGAAAGGAAGTTTGGAGTACTTTTGTTTTGTTTTGTTTTTCAGGCTGGAGAAATAGTGAATTTAAGGAAATGTCAATGGACTTGCAACAGTATAGAACTACACATATTTTGAGATTGAACTTAATCAAAATTTTGTAGAAGAGGCATGTTGACAGAATTTAGAATTTCTTTTTTCAATATTTTCACTTCTTTTGTTAATTATGTAATTATTTTGTTAATTTTATAATTTGTTAAATCAAATTGATTGTTCATTGACTGTCTTACCCAGTTTAGGGTAGGTAGTTGATAGAGGTTTGGGTAGGAAATGTCCAGGAACCTATGATTACAGAGACAGAGAATTTAAAGGTAAAAGATTAATCTCTGCAAAACAAAAATGCAGTTTTATTTCCTTCTGTTTTGCATTGAATTCCAATTTCTATGAACCTTAAGAGCTGGAATGCTTATAGATCTGAAGGCTTTTTAATTGGCTTTTGAAAGGCTAAACTGTTTCTGAAAAAATTAGCTGAACTTGCCTTCAGCTATTAAGAAAAGGTTTCTGAAGAAGTAGACTGTATCACATTTCAAAGGTTACAGTACTAAATGCACTCAAAATTACATATTTAGTAATATTTAGCTTTTATACTTACCTTTGCTGTGAATTCCTTAAATGAATATAGGGTGAAAGAAAAATACGTGTGGTTGGAACAGAGGTAGCATGTATTTCTTTTTCTGTGTTTCTTTTTCTGTTAAAAAAAAAGGGAAATCAAGGCCTGAACAACAGATGACTCTTCATGTGAGGATTGGGATTGAATAAATGCTTTGACTGGCTCCAGTAAATAAAAAAAAATAAATAAGCCAGCTCAGTAAAAACTACTCAAGCTCAAAATCCCTTTTACTAGCTGCTCTCATGATTCTTAGTCTGCTTGGATTCTTAGTTGCATCTCATTTTATTTATTTTCCGTATGCTTATCCCTGCTTCCACATCAATGCTTCAGTCAAATAGTATTATCATCCTTGTTCTGTTATCTTGAACTCTCAAGATGGATCCTTGGATGCCCTGTCCTCACAGCAGTTTAGAAGAAAAGTCTGTGCGTCAGTGGTATCTTGTTCTGTTGAACAACCTATTGGCTTGTACAAGGGCTAAATGGCCAGCTGCCAGTATTGCCCCAGCACCCAGAATGATTCCTGAGCCCTGCCAAAGCCCTCATCTGTTCCTTTGACTGAAGCCTGTCCTTGTATGGGAGCAGAGATGGAGTGGGGCAGAGGCACTTGCACGTCAGATGCAAGTCAGTGGTGTTTGAGGATCACCCACTGCTTCACCCTTGCACTACCTTTCAGATGGAAGGACTGCTTGTCCTTGGCAGTGCAGTGCCAAAGAGCTGTGTGTCAGGAAAGACTCCTCTGCCTGTTCTCCACAGTGGCAGGCTTAGGTAAAAATCTGTGTGAGCAAATACTACCATCTAATATTTGTCACTGCATTCTACTCCAGACACGTTAGACTGGTTCAAACACTGTGCAATATATGGGGAATTTTTCTCTGGTAAAAATATTTTCATGATGTATTTCAGCGTAAAACAAATTTTCTGTCTTAACATTCAGTATAGTGATAGACAATGGATTCCTGGAGAACCTGTAACTATGCCAGCTGCCTTCCAAAATGCCAGGACTGTTGACTGCCAGTTACCAAATGATGGCCAGCAGTCTGATGTCATGGATGTGGTTGACGACAAACCCATTGCCAGATGGCAAATAAAGGTACTTTCAGAAATTTCAAGTATTTATGTACAAATACTCCTATTAAGATGAAAATACGTCATGTATATGTTATCCTGTATTTAATGGTACTAAAGAGAAAAGTCAACTTGCTTAACTTGGGCTCTCAGTCTTGTCACCTAAGCTTAAGTGTCAAGTATCATTTGACAGTGTTCTCCTACAAGGGGACTGGTAGATACAGCCTAGGTCCTGCAGAGACACAGATTGTTCTAGAGTAGAAGTTAAAGGCTAGGTAGTTACCCTAGAGTATTTAAAATGACCTTGGATCCATCTTTGGTAGAACTGAGTTGAGCTCAGCCGCATGTACAAATTCCTCTGAGCAGGTATTTGAGCTCTCATACAGATGGAGTCAATAAGGTCAATAGAGCCTACTCTTGATTCAATTTACTTTAAACTAGACACTGACGTGTGGTTGGTCAAAATCTGCCTAGATTTCGTGTCAGGTTTGATTAGATTTCTGATGACTGTTGTGAGAGTTTAGACACCTGCACATGGGTGTCTGTTAATGAGTAGAAGCTCATGCTAGCAGACCATGCTGATGATATATATCAGTTAATCCATTTTTACTGCTCACTTTGCAGATTTCTAATGATGGATTTGTTTATAGCAACTCTAAAACAATGATATTGTATGATGGAGCCTGTCAGACATGTGAACCACAAGAATCTGGGTTATGTACATTAAAGGTATGTGTTTCACTACTCTATTATGAAAATATGCTTTTTTTTTTTTTAGGCTGAAAAAAAAAAAATCTAGAAAAATTAGCAGAATATACCCTGTTCTTGTTTCAACAGATTTTTAGTGCACAGAAAGATAAGCTGGGATGAGGCAATTTTAAATATAAAAAATCAAACCAAGAGCTCTTCATGTAATTACCAAGTAAAACCAACCTTGCTATCAGTTGTTTATATTTACAAGCAAGCTTAGTTGTTTAATAGAAGTGCAGAATGATTAGATTTTATTTAGTACTTAAAAATTCATAATCAGTTTGATAACCAAAAACATTAATGAATCACATTTTCATTTCTCTAAAAGGAGAAAACATGCAACATAGATGGACTCTGTTATGGGGAACGAGACACAAATCCAACCAGTCCTTGCTTACTGTGCAGACCTGACTTATCAAAGTTAACTTGGTCAGTTGTTGAAAGTAAGTTCTAAATATTTCTTTTTTAATACCAAGTAGTTAAAAATCTGCGAAGTTTTTACATTTATGGTAATAGTGATGTTTTAAGTTTAACTAGGTAAGTGTTTTGACATTTCTGTTAGTTTCTGAAAATTATATTTTCATTACCAGACCATATATGTAATATTTAATTTACTTTCCCTGACTCTCCTGCTGTAGCCATGACAAATAACTAAAGAAAATTAACAACTTTGAGTCTAATTAGCAATTTGGAGTCTTGATATTTAACACAGCTACATCCACATGTGTTTGTTTTCTACATACAGATGTAACAGGTATTTTTCAACAAAATATTCTTATTGCAGACAAGTGGAGATCACAAATTAAATTAAATTTGGTATGCCATATTTATTACACACTTAATATCTGGGCATCATTTACATTGATGGCATAGATACATGGCCTGTATGCTTTGAAAGTACGTCCAAGGTTGTTGTACTCTAGTCCAGTTAGAAACCACAATATGAAGGAAAAACTTAAGTCTAAATTTTTCATTTTCCTTCTCTGTTGTACAAAGTTCGAACATAGAAGTTGTAGCTCTCTTGGTGCAGATTTTGGTCTTTGGATATGGTCCCCTCACCAAATGGAATGTTTCTTGGAGCTTTCATATTAGCTATCCAGCCTGTCCCACCAACCCAAATCTACACATCACAAATGCAGGCATCCTGTCAGTGTTCTCGTGAGTGAAAGACTCTGCTTTGATTAGGAAAGGTCCTGTCTGAATGGGACTTCTGGTGCCTGTCTTGGTGAATCTTGTCCCAGTTCAAACTTGTACTGAAAGCCAAGATAGATGTACCTATTCTGAAAAGATGAGATGTGAATGGGAGGAATGATATAGAGCTCATCCAGCAGACAGGGAGTCAAGGGATTTGCATGTTACAGCCACGTTATGGGCTGGAATTCAATACAGCCAAAGTCAGAAGTAAGAGAAGAATGTAAACCAGAGGCAACACTCCAAACCTAAGGAGCACAACATCTTTTGCAAGGAGGATGATGTTAGAAATGAGAGAGTTCAGCAGCTGACACACTGATTATGCCTTCTTCCTTCATGGTTTCTGCCACAGTGGGTAGATTCCTGCTTGCAGCAGTATTGAAAATATTGAAATACTAGCTTGCTCGCTAGTATTGAAAATATCACGTGTTTTTCCTGTGCCATTCAAATGACATTAGAATTTAAGAAAAATAAGTACATGGGATTTCTTTAGTAGAAAGATATGTTCCTTTTAATTTTAATAAGTATATTGCAACTTTTCCTTAGAAGAGGAAAATATCTCCTTTGTTACAGATAACCAGCCTCCAGTGCTTGAAAATTTTCAGGGTATGCTACAGACATTTTATGGAGAAGAATTTTTATATCAGTTTTTGGCTTCAGATCCAGAGGGCTCTGCTATTCATTTCACTATGGATTCTGGTCCAGAAGGTGCCAGTCTTTCCCCATCCGGTCTCCTTTTGTGGAAAGCTGTGTCAATGAATGTCCATAAATTAACATTTTCTTTGACAGATGACTGCAATGCAACGGCTAAGGTAGAAATAGAGGTAATGAATATTACAGTAAAATGACACTTACTAATAAGATATCTAAGTTATCTATTTACAGAACTCATTGCTAGTTCATTAAAAACAAGAAAACTGTCTTATTGGGCGTGTCTTGTAGGTCAGTGTAAAATCATGTGATTGCCTAAATAATGGCTCATGTGTGACAAACATTAATTTCCCATCTGGAAGTGGAAGATATCTTTGTGTGTGTGTGGCTGGATTTGAAGGTGATCTCTGTCAAGTGAATACTGATGACTGTAAACTTAACCAGTGTGGTATTGGCAGATGTGTGGATGGAATAAACAGCTATTACTGTGAATGTCCACATGAACTTCAAGGTAAATTGCTACTTTATTTACATGCATTTAATATGTTTAGTGATAAATAGGAGTTTTTACTTTTATGTGTACAATTTTCTTTTTAAATTTTTCACTGTAAATAACTTACTGTTGTATTATGAAGAAACATTATGGTCTTGTGGTACATATGCATGATATACTTCAAGATTTTTCTGGCATGACTGTAATAGTTGTTTGTTTTAGTTCATTATGAAAGCTAGTTTGCATTGTTTCCCTCTGCAAAGGTAAATTCATCAACACAGGGAACCACAGGAGATTCCTCCTGCAGGTAAGCATGTAGTCCCCACAGCCCATTTTCTCCATATTTTACAATAAGCAAAATACTTGATATGAGATGAAAAAAAGTGAATACCAAACCTTATCAGCCGTTCTTATTAGATGTACTGAAATGATTGGTTGCATTTTTCTTCTCAGCATTTGCATACGTTGTACTTATATAAACACACTACCAAAGTCTAGTGACACAATATTATAAAAAAAATAAAAATCTGTATTTCAATGCAGGTAAAAATTGTCAAGAGGATGTAGATGAATGTGCATCCAGTCCTTGCTTCCCTGGAGTATTTTGCTTCAATACTTTTGGTTCTTATCATTGTGGTCCATGCCCAAATAATATGCAAGGAGATGGGAAGTCATGTCATGGTAAAATTATTTGATTTTCAGAAGAATGGTATTGTCTTATTGTCATTCAGATAAAATATCTTTGATTGTGCTTCATGTTTCTAGCAATAACTTAGAACCCTTTTCAGTAGGCAGCAAAGCAGGGCTGTGTCTCTGCTGATGGCAATATTAGACTGTACTGGGTCAACACTTGTTAAGTGTTAAACACTTTTTCTAGTGTAGAAAAAAACAGACACAAACCACACCCTCATTCTTTTACATCAAAGTAGAATAATGCAGTGGAATATTTTTGGCATTTTTTTCTTCTTTTTTTTCATAATATGATAAATTATTAATAAATTATTGAAAAAATATATTTCTATTAGATTGATTAACATAGAACTGTTTACACAAGCCAAGGTAGCTGCCAAACATTTATTTACATGCAATTACTGAATAACTTGTGTTTTTAAAATGCTCTGTGAAAAAACTTCTAAGAAACATTTTTTAACTTTTATCTACTTTCTGAATTTTGAGTTGTTTTTATGTGATAAAACTTTAACTCTGTGTATAATTTATTTAAATTTAAACAAATGTAGCTATGTCTGTGCAGCACTAATGTGCACCTTCACATCTTTTCAGAAAGCTTTGATGGCACTGATGTTGAAAGAAAGGATTCCACGGGAGGAATTGGAAGAAATAAAGGTGATTTTTTTTTTCCTGAAGAAAATGGAATTTCTAATTCACATACTGATAATAATATAGCTGGTGAACAGAGGTTCTGGTCAGTTTTATGCTACTCACTTTTCTTTCAGTTTGATACAATTTATTAATTACTGGGGTTGTATTCTGATCTGAGAAATGAGACTGAAATGTCAATATTAACAAATCCCTTGGGTCAGTCAAGCGATTTTATTAACAGTGTGATGTATGACAGTCTTACAGTTGCCTTTTGTTTTAGTGACCAACCACTGACATAAAATAGGTAACATGGGGATAGGGACATCTGTTATATGAGATAAACAAAAGTTTATGGCATTATGTTGAATGCCATTTTCCTGCTTTAACTCAGAGGAGAGGTGAAGGATATGGCAAGTGAATGTCTTTATTCCAAAACTCTGTACATGCTGTTGCTGGCATTTCCAGGTCTGTGCCTTCTGGGGGTTTCTTTGCAGGAAAGTCTTGTGTGTCTTTTCATTTTATCTCTGAATTGTTGTTGGGGGGAGGGAAGACTATCTCACTGTACTGCCAGTGCTGGATAATTCTTGATAAGCTGCAAAATGGTTTGCTTTTCCACAGTGGGAGACAACACTTCATTACGATTTGGTAAAGTTTAACCTTTTGTAAACCATTTTCTAGTTACAAATAGGTTAGAGTTGCATTCCTCCACTGCCCAGTAATGCTAAAACCCCGTATTACAGTATTCTACCAATCTGGGATTACAGTGCTGTACTTCTTTCCACAAGCCACAGACTTTCCCTGGGTAGAATATGAAGAATTTATCATTCATTTTGCGCTCTCTTGACTGAGGAGACTGAGTCAGTCTCTGATGTTTTAATAAACTACTAAAACCCATACAGAAATTTTAAGGAAGTTGATTAAAAAGTTTGAAGAATAAAACATGGTAATACTTATGCTGCAGGTTGGTGGCTTATTCCCCTAGAATATTGTCCATGATGCATCAGTATGTGTAAGCATCTACTCAAATGTGTCTCTGCTTTTAGTGCATATACACATTGATGAGCCATATGCAATATCTTTTCCTTAAATTCTTTGTTACCTACTTGAAAGCAATATATGGAGCTGATAATCTGCTGACAGAAAATCTGTTTATTGACCTAGTATGGGAAAATCTCTGCTAGTATAAATCATGCTTTGTCCTTATCTTCCAGCCAAAAAAAGGCTATGGTGAGGGTGAAAGAGGTTGTAATGAGAATACCTTGATCTTTTCTAATTCTCTCAATTAGGTTCTACTGCATACTTACATTCTGACATGGCACAAGGAGAGGTTTCCTGAAGCACAGAATGAATGGGCTCTATGTTTATCTGTTCAGGAAACATTCCTCACCCTCAAAGGGAAAAATATCTGATGGTATTCACATACTTCTCCCCCATTTCTTTCTAACATACTGTAGATGTTCAACCATCATCCTTTGAGAAGGTTTTAAGCATGTCGAGTTATATTCCCGGTTCTGCAGATGTCCCAAAGAGATTTATTTCTACAGAAATGGTCAGTAGCAGCATGCCACCAGCCTCCACAGCAAAAACGTTCACTGCCTGGATGACACCTGATTCTCAGAGAAGTGCTTCTCTACAACCTGTGGTTACTGGAAACATTGCTCATGCCCTAGGCACTATCAGTGGTCACCTTGCTGACGTGGACAACAGTTCTTCGGTACATGCTGTAAAGGCTGCATCTTCAAGGAGCCATGCTGCATCACCTGAGAAGAAAACAAGGGCACAAGTTGAGGCCTTCAGCTATTTTGAGGGCAGCAGGACGACTTCCCCTAGCAGCAGAGCACATATAAGCAAAGGACATTCTTTGCCAAGCAAAGCATTCAAAGGTGGAAATGCTCAGAGAGTTCTGCACCTATTAGCTAAGCATAAAGCAAGTCATTTACCTTTTACCCTTGAGGAAGTCACTGTCCCACCAAAAATGCTTCCTGAAGAATTGAGTGAAACAGTGTTTCCTAAAGCAGTGACCTGTTCTGATTTACCCTGTTTTCCTGGCGTACCCTGTGAACCAAGTCAGGATGGAAGTGTCAGGTGCGGTCGTTGTCCTTACGGTTATTATGGAGATGGCTTCACTTGCAGAGGTATTACAAATGATAGCACTTAAATGCTTTGAAGAAAAGAATCTTGAGATGTCTTTAGAACTTGCAAGTATATTGTTACTGTATTATCAGTAGAAAGTGTGGTGTATTGAATTTTCTCATTTTCGTTATTAATATTGGCATAGCTTACGGGCTTTTAGTTGTATGGATGCACTTAAAAATACTTTCCTGGTGCATCTTTGACTCCACATTTATGAGCAGTGACATAATGGATTCTCTGTGATCAGTTCACTACATTAGACAAGACACAATGTGCTGAAATGCCACTTTCATTTTCCTTATTCCTTTATTTGTTTTCTTCATTGCCTTTCAGCAAGATGTAGACAACCCTGTGGCAAAAATATGGAGTGTGTGGCACCCAATATTTGTAAATGCAAGCCTGGTTATGCTGGTTATAACTGTCAGGCTGGTGAGTATGGCATGTTAATTTTGCCTGTGGTAGCTCATATGCACAAATTAATCATTTGCAGAGTGCTGTTGATTTTTTTTTTTTTACAGCTCTATGCAGACCTGATTGCAAAAACCATGGGAAGTGCATTAAGCCGAATGTCTGTGAGTGTTTACCTGGATACAGTGGCTCTACCTGTGAGGAAGGTAAATGTAGCAGGTTTTGCTTTTAAATCCATAACTCCCCAAAGGATGCTGTGAACAACTCCCATGACTGTTTGTTCTGACAGTATCAAGGTTCCTTCATTTGACTATCACTTTAACAGAACTGTTGAGTTACATTTTGGTATATGTCCTGATTTTCTTGATATACACTATAAATGTTCCTTATGATTGGATGTTCCTAAAATTATCTTTCACATTAAGTAGAGCAGTTCACCAGTGAATGTAGTTGCCTCTAAGCTTAACACTCCTGAAGAGTGGGAAGCACTGTCTGGAAATTGAGTCAGCTTGCTTTTCTTCAGGGTGACCACCACTGTTGGGACTCTGTACTACTGAAGTGAAGTTGTTCTTGTTACTTACATGCAATGCCTTTTGACAAGAGTATCTCCTTATTTTATTTTCAATTTTTTGCTCACTGACAGTTACTAACATTTCATTTTTTTATAATGCATAACCAGTCCATGCATCTTTCTAGAGGTGATTTCTTGAACATAATTCTATATCTGCAGCACATTGTAAACCACCGTGTCAAAATGGAGGCACATGCTTGGCCAGAAATCTCTGCACCTGCCCATATGGTTTTGTGGGACCAAGATGTGATACAAGTAAGCAAAAGAGAGTAAGAGAAAAATACATGGCATTTTTCCTGTTCTTCAGGAGCAAGAGAGAAAATTTTGGTTTAAGCTTTTTACGCCTTCTGTGCAATGCTAGCAAATGACATAATACCTGTGCCTCTTTGAAGGTTCCCATACTTGGGCTTTTTGAACATCGGGTAATATTTGCACATAACTGTGAAAACATAATGCACTATAAAAGCTGAAAATAATTTATATTTTGTGATTCACAAACATGGAAAAATTGAGTACATTTTGTATTTGATACCTTTAGAAAACCACACAGATGTTTCATATGTCCTGACAGCCTTTTTACTTCTATCAGCTCAGATTGATTAGATACTGGGGTAAATTACGAAGCTGGTGTCAGTGAATGGTGTGTCAGAAAGACTGGGTTACAGGAAAATTAAATTCAGAACCACATTATGGTGTCTTTTTTCCTTTTACCTGCCCTGAAAATTGAAAAATTTGCTGTGGTCATAGATGAAAGATTGGAATTACTTTGCCTCACATAAATTGTCTATTACATATCAAATCATACATGCTGCAATTTGGAAACTCCAAATTTTGGGTTGGTTTTATATGGGTAATTTGTATCTTCCAGAGAATCCAAATGCAGACATGCTGTTTATACATTGCTCACCTGAATGTACCATTGCATTATTGACCCTGAATTCAGAAAATCCGTTGTCTCTTCCTCAAATCCCACGACTTTTGATTTTCAGTTTTTCTTGTTCGAATTTGAATTTTGACCAAAAAAAACGCTGCTCTTTGTGAAGGAGTACTAAAGAGAATGAGATGTTTTCCTGAAGAAGTGATTCATGGTTTTCCCCAGCCATGATATTTAAATGTCTTTGCTTGTTCTTGTGCGCCTGCAGCTGTACTTGCATCACGTAGCACAGTCCATTTGTCTCTTAACATTTCTCATTTGGTTTAGATTTTTTATTTAAACTTCTACATTTTAAACACTAAATATAATCAGACTGCAGATATTTGCGTGGAAAGACATTTTATTTACCTTTGTCATCTGTGCTTGCTATTATGGATTCAATACTAGATTACTCTGTTTAGCGATTTCTCTTCAGCTAGGAATTGTATGTTACTTCCAATGTTAATTTTTGGGGAAGAACTGAAAACCTAATCAAGAATAATTTGTAATGTTTCTCTTTCTTGTCCTCCCACCCCCTGTCTCCTCCCCTGCCTTCTCATGCTTTTGCCCACCTTCTTGGATGGTAGTGGTTTGCAACAGACACTGTGAAAATGGTGGTGAATGTCTCACTCCAGACATCTGCCAGTGTAAACCTGGCTGGTATGGACCTACCTGCAGCACAGGTAACACCCCTGCAACTTCCATGTTCCTGGGAGAGCGTCCATAGGACCTCCCATTGTTTGAAATTTGGAACTGCAGGGCTCAGGTGCAGCAATGGGCAGCTGCTCTCTGCTGCAGAGTCCCCACACTCCCCTGAGTCTTTGCAGGTTAGTTTTGCTGCCAGCAGCACCTCTGGGAAGTCTTATGCTGATCCTTTAATTTGGGGTAAAGATTCTATGGGAATGACATTACCTGCAGTTATCTTAAGTGTTTAATTCCTGTTCTTGAAACAGACACACATATTTTATAGACTTACTTGGATGTTGTGCTTCCTACTCTTCCTGACCCTATTTCTGCAGCAATGTGTAACCCTGTGTGTCTCAATGGTGGTTCCTGTACTAAGCCAGATGTTTGCCTGTGTCCACCTGGATTCTTTGGTGCCCACTGTCAGAATGGTAATATTTTTTTATTTTTTTCTTCTCCCCACTTCTTAGTTGCCATTATGAGAAAATCTATGAGAAAACATTAAGACACAAAATAAATAATCAAGTCATGTACCTGAGAAGTGGTGTAAAACAGAGATTACATTATTTTTTAGATTTCACATCTGACTCAACAGCTGTCCAAGGAGAGTGAAGACTTAAAATTGGTCTTATATTCCTCTCAATATTTAAGCAGTTTTCATCCAGTTCCATTGTATGCTATGTGTAGTCTGGTTACTTTTGTACACATAGAGTTGGCAACCTTGACTCCTTTTTATCTGATTTTGTCTTTACTATTGATTTTTACACCAAACCACATCAATATGAATTTTACAAGGTAGGCCTGATAGTGCTGAATGTTCATACAAGCTTAGTGTTGCACTCTTGTTTTCCAAAAGTATTTCACTAAGTCGAAATGCAGATGGCAGCCTTTTCCTCCTGTTTGTATCTTTTAGCCGTCTGCAGCCCTCCTTGTAAGAACGGTGGTCATTGCATGAGAAATAATGTCTGTACTTGTCCTGATGGGTACACAGGCAGAAGGTGTGAAAAAAGTAAGCCAGTGTTAAAATCTTCCTGTGATCCAAAAATAACCCATAAATTATTCTGTAATCAGTTCAATGTATTAAACAGCAGATGTTTCTGATTTTAAGGTGTCTGTGAGCCAAGATGTATGAATGGAGGAAGATGTGTAGGCCCAAACATTTGCTCTTGTCCTTCAGGATGGAGAGGAAAAAGATGTAACACTCGTAAGTACCTTGTAGTTATCAGGTGAACCATACCTTAAAAGTAATACGAGACTTAGGGCAATTCTGCCCACACAAGTAATACAAAGATAGTGCCAAAGAACCTAAGAATGTATAAACATGGAAAAAACAGTTGTCTATAACTTGGCAGCAAAAATTAGGATGGGAGAATTAATACCATGCTTTTAGTTCTTAGGCTAAATCATGGGACCGAAATATCTGTGAAATTCTTGTATAGCAAATATTATGTGTTTCTTTGTGGATTCTTGTCTAAATAAAAACATCTGCATTTCTGTAAAGAGATGAGTCAAAAAAGTGAAAGAAATCCAATTTGTGCTGTAGGACATAAAATCAGATATAATAGAAAAAGTTCAGTGAAAGTTTGGAAAATTCTGGAAACAGTTGGACATGATATGAAAAAATGATGCAGTAGACACAAGGTTTTTAGGACAGGTAGAAATAGGACTGTGATGGTTGCACATCTTTGGGTCACGTTGTATCTTAATAAAGATATTGATGGTGCAAAGATAAATTATGCCAGCATGGATAAAAGCACAGTCTGCAGGAAAATCAGCATAAGGATGAGCGAAGTGTTAGTGTCTGTCAGAGTACCCACCCGAGGCTTGAGAACTGATAGAGGCAATGAGCTCATTATTGGCATGGAGGAAAAATAAATTTCCCTGTGCTACTTTCTGTAATTATTGGAAAGAGGTTGTTTTTTGAAAAAAAAAATGTTACCAGTATTTAGAGGGGTGAGATATTCTTGGACACTGTGGAAGAGAGATTTGATTATCAAATAGTCAGCTACAAATGAACGGAAATAGTAATGGGTTAGATCATGGCTCAGTAAGCAGGGACAAATGTGCAGACAAATGGATCATAGAAAATACCTTTGGATCTGATATGCTTGAGTTGATTCATTGGGTGTTCAGTTGAATGACAGACAAAAGATCTCTTGCCAAGGTGTGTGCTTTAGAAAGGTAAATTTGGAAAAAATATAGCTCTTTAATGGTGCTCTCTTAATTCAGTATTTCAGGCTTTTGTAGCAATCTCTGACACAGCAGAACCTCTGAATGTGGGTTTTGGTTATAGGGCTTTTTGTTTCTAGTTGCCTCTCTTCTTTAGTATCCTGTTGGTCTTAGACACATATTTGAGTGAAGCTGATGTTACTCTTGTGTATGAAAAGCACTCCACCTCTTGTGCGAATCCTGAAATCTGAATAATAACTCAATGTAAACACTTGGGATGTAACTTTGTGATGATGTTTGTGCAGCAATCTGTCTTCAGGAATGTAAGAATGGTGGGGAGTGTATTGGACCAAGCACCTGTCATTGTCCTCCACAGTGGGAAGGAATCCAGTGTCAAACACGTAAGAATGATGCAACCTGAAACCTCTTGTTTCTGTACAGTTCAGAACGCTTCAGGCATGCACAGTGCAGAGAAATCCTCCTGTACCTTGGATGTAGTTCATCCACATCTGTGTCAAAGGCAGGATAAAGAGCAGAGATTGCTCTGCCCCTTCTGAAGGCTCCCAGAATCAGATGGCACTCTGGGACCATGGCAGTATGTGTTGGTTTGTTCCAGTGCTATGTGCTGCTGCACAAGCCTTGAGAGGCCATTGTGATAGCTTGAAATAGCAAGATGTGCTAAAAAACACCTTACTCATGTTCTTTACTCAGTCTCATTCACGCCCTCAGCATGTTCTCACATTAAATCTGCATCAAAGCAAAAAGGGGATGGGATAGACACAAGAACACTCTTGGCTCCAGGTGACCTTTAAGTCTCTTTACATTGAAGATTGTTACCCTGTGAAAATACCTTCCAAGGTCTTGGTTCCTGTAACAAACAGAATAAGTATCTAGAGATAGCATCCACTTTTCCTTCACCACGATGTGTCCATGAATAAAGCCTCATATGTACCTCTCTTGTTTTAGCTGTGTGCTACCAGAAGTGTCTGTTTGGAGGGAAGTGTGTATTGCCCAATGTGTGCTCTTGTCGTCCAGGTTATACTGGAGTCCTCTGTGGGAAGAAAATTCAGGTAAATGTAGAACCAAGACACCATCACAGTGGTGATTAGTGATTTGGGAGTTAATTAGCTAGTCCACCCATGTCCAGTGAAGCAGTATGATACACACCAAATGTGTATTTTTTCTGATTTCTTCCTTTCACTCTGCAGGGAGGGAAAATTAATGGAATTCCTAAGAGCTTTCCCAGTAATTTTTAGATTCTAATACTTACAGAATTGTTCTCAGCACCAGATGTAAACTTCCTTTGTCTCAAATTAAGCTGATTGTCTCTTGTCATGCAGTGAATTGATAACGAATTGATAACCATCCTCTTCACAACAACCACTATTTTTTTTTTCCAGCATCTGGCCTCATTTTAGGGAAGAGTGTCCTACTGATGACTTTCTTAGCTTGCAGCAAGTCAAGCCCTGATCTTTTCCCAGCTAACTGCACTGCCAGTCAGTTCATCACGTGTAACTTGGGAATAATTTTACTTTTTTTGTATCAGAGGGAATGATGACCATTTCTCTGTTTTGTCATGCAATTTTCTGTTGAATTCCCTTGCTTGAGTGCTGATGCTCACTCACTGAAGTAATTTAATTAAACATTTTGCTACAACTAACTGTTTTGTGATGTCTGAAGTAAAAACATTCTGCTCTTCTTGCATCATCTCTGGGGTTTCTCTTCTTTTAATTTCAGTGTGTTTAGACACATTTGTGCTGCCAGCAGAATTGAGAGATGAGGTAGATGTGTTTCAGAAATTGAAACAAAGAAATGCTCATATTTTGAAAGTATGAAACTATACATCCTATATCAATAAGACTGTAATGTTTGTAGTATGGGTTTCTAAAATGTGACCCAAAAGGGAGAAATAATTTTGATTTAAAGATTTTCATAAATATGTCTTGTATAGAGTCAGTCTATTTTTAGTCTAGAAAATATATCTAATTGTTGGTCAGTCAGACAGTACTGTATCATACATTGATCAAAATGGCACATTTTTTTAATGAAACAAAACTGTCAGTACAAGTTTAAGTTAATGTTGTGATTCTGTATGTCAGGCAAGAAGAGATTCATTAAAATTGTTTCATAAACTTTATCGTAAAAAATGGGTTGCCTCATTAAAGTCTGGTTTTAATATTTGTTTTCTCTCTCCAAGGTACAAAGACAACATGGTTGAAGATGTGTGGCAATTCAATTGCAATGCTGCATGGATGTATGAGACTTGAAAATAGCAAAGGGGTGAAGGCAATTACAGAGTTCATTTAAATGGAAGGAATATTCAGAAGCCTTATTTTAAAAGATTTATGTTAATCACAAATGTTGGTGAGCTTCAAAACAACAATCTTGTAGTCATTAAAACATATGTATATTCCTGTAATTGTTTGCTACCTCATGTAGAAACCTAACAGCCTCTGATGTCTTCATTGAATTCCCAGATCTGATGACTGAGCCCAAAATTCTGCAGTTTATTCATGTAGTCAACTGGACTATGAAATTTCTGTTGAGGGAACAAGACTATAGCAGCTGTTGGGTGACTAGCAAGAAGGCAGCAGTTCTGTACTTGTGAATGGCTCCTCCTATTTACAAACACTGCTTACATACATATTATTTGGCTGCAGATAGAAGAAAAAGCAGAACTGTGTTTTCTTGTTTTGTATTTACATCATTCTTCTAATGACAAGCCAGTAGCAAGGAAGGAGGGGAAACCAGAAGTGAGGCTGGGCTACTAATGAAGGCAAGGCCTCCTGTCCTGTTAACAGTCAGGCGGATGCAGAACGACTCTGATTTATCTATGACAAGCCTTTGCAGCCAGAAGCCAGATCCCAACTTTTCTGTTTTGACTTCATTACTTTACAGTCACAAATTTGAAGAGCCAGCTACTGAATTATTCCTGTGTCTGTAAGACTTTTATGCTCCTGTCTTGAGATGGCAGTCAGTAATATGAGGAAATTTTGTTCCCAAGACTCTTACAGAAATTTTACAATGCCTTCAGTAATGCTGAATCCTAAAATAGGAACTAATAAGAGGAGAAATTTGTTGTACATCCTGCCATCCATACTCATCATGTCAGAAAGTATTTGTAAAGACTTTGCAGAGGATTTTTTTTCCCATTGCCAATTGCTCCGATGAAGTGTTAGCACCTACCAGCTGCCAGGTAATTTTTGAAAAAATAAAATTCCAGTTTTTCTGAAGTTTCCTACAGAGGACTGCTATCTTCTCCTAGAGCTGTGAAAGACATTTCAGTTCCTGCCATAATGTAATAGACACAAACATCCCATTAGCTAAGCCATTGAAGTTTATTGCTTTGGGTTTTTTAAGCTGAAAATAAACATCATGACTTCTTGTTTTCCTGAGCAATATTCAGTTTATATATCCTAATTTTGAACAGGAAGAAAATAGAGGTAATTTTGCCATTTACTGCCATTCTGGGATGCTGATTATCAAATCATAGCTGTTAGCAGCTCTGTGCCTAGATTTCTCATCACCTTTTGACAATCTTCTTTAGTCATCTTGCGAAGTAAGCTGGCATTTTCAGAGCTTAGCATCATTCCAGAATGATACCACGGATTTCCAAGTGCCTGACTGGTATATTTTAAAAATGTCCAATTTCCCACTTGCATTTTAAATTTCAGTGTTTCCATAGTTTCTTTCAATCAAGCACCCATGTGGCGATAGCCTGATGATCTGGAACCATTACATTATTTAAAACCTACTCATCTTGAACCATTTCCTTTCCCACATCTCACAAAGATGTGAATGAACAGTCTGACTAGCTCTTGGAACTGTTTTGGATGCACAAGATACTGAAAACGTTATCAGAGTATAAACACACCAATATCACAATCTCTTACTGTAATCACTGCTGTTCTGTGTGTCAGTTACAGAGGTGCTGTGCAAAAAAGAAAGATAACATCTTCCTGGAGCACTGCTAATAATACTTCGGTTAATGAGTTTGTGCAATCCTTCACTCACAAAACTTAATGCATATATGTGCATTTCTAGGATTTCAGGAACAATAAAGAATTTTTAAATTATAACTGTTAGTGTTTGCTGTTAATTTTCAATTGTTTCAAAGGCAGAAACTACTTATTTTACATTTTTGAAATGCAAGCTGTGCGAACAAAAGCACAGCCAGAGTTTTGCTACAGTAGCTAGAAATGCTTTGTGCTAAGCTGTGCTGTTTTTGCTCTTTTCCAGCAAGCACATGGTGCAGAAAAATTATTAGTACATGCAAAATTCCAGACAGATACTTCAAAACTACCCAGTAATTATGTGATTAGTTGAAACTATTTTGTTACTACATTGTCCATCATACACATGAAACAGAATTCACCGTAATTAAAAAGCACATGGCAACAATACAGTAAAATTGCTCAGTGTAACAAGATGTGGGTTTATATAAAGGGCTTGTGTACAGAGGTTAACAAAACTGCTAAAATTGTAACCTGAAATTAGGCCTAAAAGAGTTAGGGGATGTGGGAGTGGGGAGAAGGGTTGGAGTTGACACAGTTCCACTCTGAAGGAATGAAGGACAACTTGTATCAAACTGAAGATTCTGCAGTGATTCTTACCACATTATGCACAACACTGATATCTTTGTTGAATTTTCTTGCATGATTTCTTTAGACACTAAAGAGTGCTGGAAGGTATCTATGTACATCATTCATTTATTGCCTGGTTGCACTACAGTTGCTCTGCAGGCCAACAGAAGTTCTCCCAAGTGCTCAATGATTTTTTTAAAACATCTTTTAAAATGCAGTACAGTGAATGTTCTCTGAAGGAAGGGCTTGTATCACAGAAGATACCACAGATAGTCATGTTGGCTATGATTTAAAAATAAAACCACAAATAGGCCCTATGGGAAAGGAGCTTTCTTTTTACAAAAGTTGATCAAATATTTTCATAGCTGAGAAGAGAAAGCAAGTTAATGTTTCCATTTACCAAAGGCAAACTCATGAAGAAATATCAGCACAAGCCCTAAAGTAAATAGGTATAAAAACTGAAGCTACTTGACAAGTTGGCTATATCTGCTCCCTTATTTGTCTAAATGGAAAAACCCAAAGTTTAAATTCTCAAAACATAACTTTGGGATAAATGTAGAGGTTAGATACTTTTGCTAATAACTAAAGTTGTTTATGCAGTTTCTGTCATTTAAAGGTGTCACATGCTGGTATCAGGTCATTTTACCCAGCTTCTGCCCATAGCTCAGTTTAGCTAGCAAATGATATTTTACAGCTAAACCAAGTCAATCCATTCTAAGTGCCAGAAGCACTTAGAGCAGAAGAGAAAATATACCTAAAAATGTGCATGCAAGTAAACTAAAAAGAAGAAACACCTCACCTTTCCATGCACATTCTAGAAAGACAGAGTATCAAAAATGCAACCACTGCAATACCCCTAACATTACAGTTGTTTTAGTGAAAACCAGAGTACCTGTATAAGGTATTGCAGTTAGCTCCAATGAATAAGGGAGCTAGCATGTTCTGTGTTGCTTTTCTTGACCTTTGAGCTGCAAGCATGACTTATCTCCCCACAGGAAGACATAGCTATCTCCAAAAATTACATGCTGTAACTGTTCAATCCTCTAGCAAGCAGAAAACAAACAAAAGGCAAGAAATACTGACAGCTCTTTTAGTCTTTTTAGTATGTTTAACTGTGGAAATAATAATTTTGGGGACTGTCAATAATACATTCTAACATTTTTCGACTTTAACTAACTAGAAAAATCACTTTTAAACTCAAAGTTTAATTGAATGATAAGAAGAAATATTTGTACAAATCAAAACAAAAAACAAACCCAGAAAGAACACTGTAGCCAGTAGATGGTGCTACTTTCAAGTAGTATTTCTGAAATATGCCATTGCATTCTGTGTGGCATCAAATTACTGCTTACTTCAATCATTTCTAACAGGAAACTAAATTAGCATTTGTGTTGGCCTGTTCAGAAGCACCAATTACAGGTCTCTCAATGACTGTTTCTGGTCTCTTGCTCTTGACAATGCCAATATCTCTTCCAGATTCTAGTCACTATTACTTTTGTCCTTATTAGCAGAAGTCAGTCTTTTTGGGAATAATATTGATATATTATGCCTCTTTGTTTTTACATAGTACTGATAATTTATTCTAAATTTGGGGTCTGGTGCAAATAATTTTTTTCCCGTTCATTCCCCTGCAAACAGTGTGTCGCCTAAGGTATTCAACCTAACTCCTGAATTTCTAAATTATGGCATGATGTAGTGGGCTGTCACACAGAATACCATCATCATCACTATAAAACTTCAGAGCCATTGATGAAATCATCTTGTTTCACACATGACAATCACATTTTCACCAGCAGGTGTGAAATAACCAGTGTATCCCAGCAAAAGCAGCACAAAAAAAGTGCATTTCTCTTATGTTGTGGCCTGTCCCTGCAGGAAATCCTTCACAACATCTTTGCAGCAGGTTTCCTCTGAGCCAAAGGCAGCAGGCTCCAACACAAGCACAGGAGAAAGCTCAACTACGCCCCACAGCAATTGCTCATAACAGGGAAACAGGAGTCTCAGGAACTGAACCTCTGCCTTTCAATTGCCCTCTGCATGCTTGGGCACTCTCTTGTAGAGAAGATTGGTAACTCAGAAGACTCAGTTTTACCTTTGCCTCTTTGCTCAGTGGCTTGTAATCCCAGGAGAAACAGGTCCCTGTAAATCACTGCCCCTGAGAGCTACATGTTCTGGTAGTTAAACACAATTAAAATGTTGTTCCAACGAATGGACTAAAGTAATGCATAGATAAAATCCTCCCACAAAAAAAAAAAAAAAATTAGAATTCCAGTTTCATCTAGAAGACTATGAAAATTAATCTCTCAAAAAAAAAAAAAAATAGAAATTGATCTGAGCATCATTCAGAAAGTTGACTGATTGCGTTTGCATGTTTTGGCAAAACTTTCCTCAAGAAGGTTTTCCATTCAGGAAACAGCACAAATAAGACAAGGAACAATGAACATAGGAGACTCAGTCCATTCTGCAGCCCTTTCAAAAGGCTGCAAAACCTAAATGAAGGCAAGCAGGAACATCTCCAGAAGACAAGTGTCAACATCCTGCCAACATGCCATTTGTGACAGGCATGGCTTTTCCTCACTGCTAGTCTGCAGCCTCCCATTATACTGCTCCTGTACCAGCAGAGTCTTGAATAGCATAGAATGATCAATGTCTCCAGAAGAAAAATACATTTCCCTGTCTCACTGGGATAAGGAAAAGAAATAATTGGAAATTGAGAGATGATCAGATAATATGACCGTAGAAGCAGACAAGATAAGAACTCAGAGTATCATGGATTAAGCTTTTAGAAAATAACAGCAGAATTGTCTGAACAAGTATTGGCAGGGCAAATATTCTTACTTGTTGGGTTTTTTTAAAATACTGTTCAGCTGATTGAGATCTAGATCAGATTGGAGGGGGAGGGACAGGAAGCAGACAAAGTGATAACCATGATTTAAATAAGATGCTTTGCAGTTAAGTAATGTTCAAGAAAGAGGCAACTCTGCAAGTTTCCTCTTGCAAATGTTTAATCTTAAATAAGGCAAATTATATTTGAACTAACATTTACTTTTGATGATCTGAATTGAGGACTTTTTGTTTAATGTGCTTTTTAAAAATGTAATTATATAACATGATACATCTAGTCAAAGGGGAGAAAAATCAAAAAGAAGAGCATAGATGTATTCTGAAGTACTTGATTTGAAAAAAAATTTTATTTCAAGGTCAGCTGTATCAACCAAGGCATAATACTTCTGCTTATGAAAGATAAGAAGAAGAGAAAACATGTGATACACTACACATAGCTGGGTATTTGTAACAACTTTCCTACAATCAGCAATACCTTCCTTTTATATGGAAAAGCATGTACTTAATATAGTGAGGACAAAAAGCTGTCTGAAATCAAGTTACCATGTTTATTTTAAGGTCCCCCACTGCTACAGATTTCCTCTCTGTATAGCTACATGAAAAAAAAAATGCAGCTTATCTTGGCTGAAGTTGCTTCATTCCTTCCTTTTCTTTGTACACTGTGGCCCAGAGTATGGCAGTCGACACCTACACACATTTGGAGCGATGCATTTCCCTCCATGCTGGCAGGGCAGTTTACATACAGCTGAAATGAGACACCAGATACACAGCATGTCTTCAGCACAACACAGGATCATTTTTCTTTTTGTCTCACTGCAGTAGCAGAATTGTTCCCTGGTGACTGCACTGGGACAGTATAAATAAAAGCATAATGGAAGAACTGAAAAGCAATGTCTCTCAATTTATGGCATTGTGGCCTTCACCGGAATACAGGCACAGTACATCTAGTCTTATTCATGCTCCGTTTCCCTTTTAAAATACTATAGTTTCTGTTCTTTCGGGCACTGTCTTTTTTTGAGATGGAAGCCCCCATAAAAGTGAGAGAACAATAAAAATTCCTGCTGAAACTTATTCAAGCCAATGTTGGATCCACACCCATGAGGAAACAGCCACCTCATCCTAGCAGTATGTCACACACTGCCCTCCTCTTCCCCCACAGGAGCAGAGGAGGGCTGAGTGGGCACAGCTTCAGCTGTCCCCTGCTGCACACCTGTTCACCTGACGAGCCAGGGGCTGCAATATTTTTATGAGCATGTAGACCCAAAGAAGTCAAACTTGATGCAGATCTAGTTTGGGAACAGTGATTATTTTGACATCAAGAACATAAACATTTCTGCCATAACTGCAGCTGCAGGGACATAAGCATTCTACAAGCTCTCTGCAGCTCCCACACTTGGGTTTTAATATCACCATCTATCTGAATATACTGATGAATATAAAGGATAAGCATTTTGATGGTCAATGGGAATATCAAAATATTACTTGCTAATGTTTTCTTGAGCATATATATTGTAGACGAACTAACACTATCTGATTTAGTGCCACAGCCATGTGAAAATATCAGATTCAGAGGACTTAATCCCGAGACCCTGCATCCACAATATCCAGTTCAAAACCAGTGCTTGCATGAGGGTTTTTTCAGTCTCCCAGAGAGCAAACAAAAAACCTTTCCTTTTGTAGTCTCAGAATTATTGCCTTTAGCATCAGGGAAGTGCTGTTACAAGCATATAAGGCCCAAGAAGCATAGATTTAAGACTTATAATCACCTGCTTTTGTGAAACAAAGTTTTTGAAAATAGAACTGGTTGTTCAGCAACAGTGTCAGTACTAATCCTGATTACAAGCAGCTTTCAGAGTTCTAAGAACACATGGAGTTGATTCTATCAACTTATCCTCAAAGTGAGAAGCAAGTTTCAAATTTACATGTCTATAAAATTTAATGAAGCTTCTAACCCGCACCAGTAGCAATAGTACTTATGTAATTTTCATTTCCTTTTACTGGAGTCTCAGTTTACAGACAATATTATTTCAGAAACACCAACAAAATACACTAAGTAATTAATTTAGTGACAACCAAAATCTGAATCTCTTCCAAAGTGGAAAAGTTCTGTGTTTCTGACCAAATTGAACAGCCATCTGCTCCCTATGCATATTTGTAAGAGCCCCAGTATTTGGAAGCAACTCTCAGTTACTATTCTAAGATACTTGCCCTGGAAGCTTTGTTCGGCCCTGAAGACTTGAACACTTTGATTGGTAAATCAAACAAGCAGAGGAAAGGATAAGTAAAAAATGTCAGAAGTCATTTACCTAAGTGACATGCTCTACCGACCCATCCAGCTGGACAGCTACAAATCCCAGGAGCCACACAAGCTCCATTATTCCGACAACCTTGAGGACAAATTGCTACAAGAAAAAGAATGGGTAAGCCAGCAGGATTTATAAAACTGATGTAAAAGAATCCTGACAGAATGAAAGATTCAGGATGATACAAGTCAAAATGGCAAAACACATTTTCTTCTAGGCCAGATATTCAACTGGTAAAACTCCAAAAGCATTTCTAGGACCATGGAAATGGAAAAAAAATAGGTACTGAGTTACGAATCTTGGTTTAAATGTGAACAATTGTACACCTTAATCCAAAACATTTTCACACTGTTTTATCTGTGTAAGTACCCATAATGTAGGGCACTCATTTCTGTAGTAATGCAATGACATTTCCATACTTATTAGTCCCTTAATACTTTTAAAATGTTTTTGTTAGTGCAGTTTTAGAGCTAATATAAATATTTGCATGAATGTAGACACACACCTTCTTGGCATCTTGATCCTGTCCAGCCAGAAGCACAAAGGCACTTCACGACTCCATTGACAGAGACACATTCCCCTCCATTCTGACAGCCTCCTTCACAGCTTACTGTGGAAGACAGCATACACCAGGTATTTCAGAAGCAGCATAGGACTTCAAATAATTGTCTTTAAACAGCTTATTTGGCATCAACTACTTGTTTTATCACATCTGGAAAAACTAAAATTTTAACCGTTCAGAGCAAGGCACTGCTCTACTTTTCTCCAGTAACACCGCTGTTCATCAGCTACATCACAGGAACTACTAATATGGATATTAGCATCAAACCTGCCAAACCACAGCTGGTAAGCCAATAACCTGTGGTTAAGGATTCACATAGCTCCTTACCTGACAGGACCTACATGTAAAAAGAGGAAGAAGAGAAAAGGATATCACTTTGACAAATGAAACTGTGACTATAGTCAAGTTAAGCAGTGCCTTCCCAAAGGCCAAATACTTGAGGTAGCCTGCTCACTTCAGAATTGTTCTACACATCAAAGCCCTGAAGGCCTCATTAATGAAGCATTATTTATGCCAGACATATGATTTACTGTGGAGAGCACAATCATTGTTCTGTACAATCAAAATGCTTCCTTTCACAAGTATGAAGGTATATTATATACCACCTTCACTGTACTGAAGAGAAACAACTATCCTTCATTATAAAGATGGACAGTTTGGATGTCTGCTTGATAATTTGTAGATAAAATATCCAAATCTCTTGTTGAACCACAAGTATTAAGCACAATTTCAGCTAACAGATTTTGGCACGAATACTGAAGATGCAAGTACATGCAAGTCAAATCCAGCACAGCTGGAAAAGTTCTTCAGTGTTTGTTTGCATATTACTTTGTTGCACAAAGTAAGTTAATATATTTAATATTGATTGTATTTGAATCATCACAGTGACAGAGAAGGACTGGATGAAACCAAACATTACTCCAGTCTTCTAGAAGGGCAAGAAAGACCCAGGGAATCACAGGCTGGTCTGCTCACCTCAGCCCCTGGTGAGGTAATACAAGAACTGACTCTGGAAATCATTTCCAGCCACATTAAGGACAAGAAAATCATCAGCAGGTCTTCACAGTGAGGGTGACCAAATGCTCACACAGTACAGATTGCCCTGGGAATTGTGGAGTCTCTGTCCTTGGAGCTATTCAAAAGCCATGAAGACATGGCCATCAACAGCTGGCTCTAGGCAGCCCTGCTTGAGCAGGGAGCTTGGAAATCATGACCTCTAGAGGTCCCTTCCAGCCTCGCCTAGTCTGAGATTTTGTGAGATTCTATAGTAGCACATTGCCCCACACCAGAAGTTTGTACATGTTTGTACAGGGTTTTCTTGGATTGCCTTTTCCAATATATGCATGTATTCAATAGGCTTTACAAAACCATAAAAATTGGTCTTTGCCACTCTGTCATCTCCCATTACCTCTCAACAATACACTGCCACATATAATCCTCAGTCACTGGCCCTCAATGTTACCATCTTGCAGATACTACTTAAAAATTTCAACCACTTAATGAAGAAATATGTATCTACACAAGCCATCTCAATAAATTATTTAGAAAGAATCTGTTATAGAGTTAAATGGAATATTTATGTAGCACATAAAAAGGATATTTTCCAAGGCAAAAAATTTGCTCAGATTCTCACAAAACATTCCAGTATGTGCAGTCCCTCCCATCTTCCTGCAATCATGCAGATCCTCTAGGCCATGCATGTCTTGATAGCAAGGTCAGAGATTTACAGAATTAAGGTCATTATTTCAAAGTGCATTAGATCCAGGACTTTAGGCATCCTAAATTATTTTAGTCTGTTTTCAAATTTCTTGTCTTTCCAAGCTGCCTCCTCCTTGGGTCTTACCTTTATGACAGTATCTACCCCCATACCCAGGTGGACATCTGCATTTTCCAGGTCGGAGGCACTCTCCCCCATTTTTGCATTTTGGATAACATGTAGCTGAAAGACAGACAACAAAGAAAGGCTGGATAAATATTGGTGAAACTTATTAAAGTTACTACTTAAATACATAAGAAATTTGCACATCTTCATATTTTCATCAGTTTGTCTTCATATTTTCTGATATATCTGCCATGTCATCTTATATAAGATCAAATCCTTTCCCTGCAAAGAGAGCACTCCACCATAGTAAGCTTTTAAGCACTCAAAACTAAGGAATGTTTTGGACCTGGACAGAACAGACAGAAGAAAGACCCATATTAAAGAGGAACACAGCTGCCAAAAAAGCTTTTGATAACTGAAGTGGAGAAATAACAGGTAAGAAAATAGGTGATAAGAAAAATGATTCAGTAAAAAGATGTTGCAACTTGAGAGGCATCATGGGATACTTAAGATGAAATATCAGTCTTTTTATTCATTACTGGATTCTTACATTCCTCTTTGGAAAAACTACATGCTCTATTCCTTATATCTCTTCTCTAAAAAGTCTCCAGAAGTAAGTTTCCCCACACTCTTTTTTTCTGTTTTTTTGCTTCAGCTGGCTTTTCAGAAACCTTTCTGAAATGTACAGTGTTTTTTAGCAATAATGCAAGATAAATGTAACTTTTCTCATAACTCTAATCATCTGTTGGGATAAAACCATCTATGATCATCACAAATACTGCAACTTTTTCATTGCTGACAGCTTGGACGGGTTTGATAAGGTACAAATAAAAATCTTAATTTTGCAAAATTCTGGGTAAATCCAATCTGATTGCAAATAAATTACCTATCACAGACTCTTTGTGAGTCATAATCATCCCTAAGCCAGCCCTGCTGTCTGAGAAAACATTTGTTTATTCACACATAGCTTTTAGAAACTCATCTGTCTCAGGGAGTCTCATCTGAGTTACCTGCTGGTGTGAGATGAGCTCTCTACTTATTCTTTGACCAGATGGCTGAAAAGTATGAAAGAGATGAACAATGGGTAACACCATCCTGGTCTTATCCTCATATATTTATTGCACTCTCAAGAAACCCAATTGAAGAATAGATGACTTTTATACCTGCAGAATGAATATGAGCAGGCAAAGAATGGACAGAGACGTATGGAAAAAACAGCCAGTGCTCAGCTCTCTGTAACTTTTATCAGATGGTCTCATTTCTTTAGAAGTGCCATACAAGAGCTCCCAATTTAAGAAAAATTCTGTTTCTGTGTTATTTCACACAGTGTTCAGTTCATTTTCCTTGACAGAACAAGGGACAAAACTTCATTTATCCAATTTTTTTTCTACATTGATGACCTTATGAGCACATGGATTCAGTCATTTCTTTAACAATTCCAGACATTTCACCTCACTATTCAAGAACTGATCTGGCTTTCCACCAATATTTCACCTCTTCCCTAAACCCCAAAATGTCTAGGAACCAACAGTTCCTACAACATAGTTCATATAGCATAGCTGTTAATCTCCACTACACAGCACATTAGCTATAGATCATTTGTCACCACCTGCTAGCCCTCTGCCTCAAAATGAAGCAATACTCCATGAATGATTAAAGTGCTGAACGAAATTTTCAGCATCTAATTTCAGGGTTAAAAAAAAATCCCACATTTTAAATGAAGGACATTGAAAATTAGAACAAATATTGTACAATTTTATCACCTCTTCACATAGACAGCATGCAAAGCAAAGGAACTCCTGACACTGAGTGATTTTTTAGCATTTAATAGCCACAAGCTCTACAGTTAAATTTTAAACAAGAAAATTAGAAAATTAGATATCAACATGTTACATTGAACAGGGTTTAAACTAAAACTCTTCTTCATGATGTTTTATTTCACATATTAGGTACCATTTTCAAAAATACTTTGTCTCTCCATGGAAACCAACAGGAACAGACTCCACCCTAGCTTTATGCCTCCCACTGTACAGGATGTACAAATGACCCTGTGCATCAGGTAACATCCAGGAAGTAAACCACAGTACTTCTACAAGCACAAGGTATTCTAAATAAAAAGAAATCCAGAAAGTAACCTACTTTCTACACACTCTTTTGGTGTTTTCATTAGTGACTAGTCGTGACTAATTGCAACTAGAGATAATAGTTAAATGTTGCTGTGGCTTAGAATGCTGTCAAGTCTCTAGAAGCATTCAAGAACCATCTGGATGCAATCCTATGCATTGCACTCTAGGATGACCCTGCTTGGGCAGGGAGGTTGGAACAGATGACCTCCTGGTCCCTTCCAACCTGACTGACTCTGTGATTCTTTAAATACTTCCAGGGAAGTATTTAAGCATGCAGTTAAAGCAGTAGGAGGAATAAAACACCATAGCCTGTCCTGGGAGTGGCCTCTTACCCAACATCCAAGTGGTAAAAAACTTTCTATGGACCCACGGCCATTTCTGACAGCAGGATTTGCTTACTACCTTGAGGTCTTCCTTCTGGGACTTGGCTGTGCTCCATCAGTTTGCTGTCACTGCCTCACCTTGCCAAAGTGTTACAAATTACTCACCACTATTGGGTAGGTCAATCAATAAGGCAATTTATCAATTCGTTGATAAGGAATGGGCAAGCAGTGCTGGGGATGTGAGGAGTCCGCGTTCCGCCAACACGTCCCTCCTATTCCTGGTCACTGTCCCTTTTATTGGCAGTTTCTGGTGGGGCCGTGTCGTGCTCACTGTGCTGGGGTACAAGCCCGAGCAAGCCTGAACATGTTGGCTACCATTGAAGTAGCAGTGGCTACAAGTGCCCACCCGGTCTGGACAAGGCTCGAACATGTTGTCAGGTTACACTCCCAGCAAGCAGGTAACAGTAATGACAAGTCTGTTCATGTTCTCACAAGCCCGCGTTTTTTTTATACATAAAAAGTGGACACAATTCATAATTATAGTGGCAAAATAATAAACAATACGTAAAAACAAAAGCCAACAATTTACAGCAAAGTGATTTAAACAAATATAATGAAAACATTATATTTTCCTTTGTCTCATGTCCATGCTTTACTTTAAGTTCAGCATTCTTGTTTATATTGCTCCTATGGTGTATTTTTCATAATGACACGAATCACTATGTAACATCTCACACTTTTTTGGCTGTGCTCCATCAGTTTGCTGTCACTGCCTCACCTTACCCAAGCGTGTCTTAACTCTCTTCCTTCACCTCTCCTTCTTTAGGTCCTCCCCAGCACCTCCCCGCCCGCCTCCCACAGCAGATCCCAGCCCGAGCTCCTCATTCCTTCCCGGAGGGATTACTCGCCGGGGGGCTGGCATGAGAGACAACGAGCGCGGTGCTCGTGCCCATCCCGGCGCATCCCTTCCCGTTACCGTGCTGGCAGCGCTCGCCCTCGTAGCCCTTGGAGCAGAGGCAGGAGCCGTCGGCGAGGCAGAGCCCGCCGTGCCGGCATCGCGGGCTGCAGGCGGCGGCCGTGCCGGGGCACAGCGCGCTCAGACACAGCCCCAGCCCCAGCAGGAGCAGCAGCCCCGCCATGGCCCGGCACGGCAGCCCCGGGCTCCGGCAGCCCTGGCCTCGGGCAGCGCGTCCTGCTCCGCTCCCGCCTCCTCTCCGCTCGCTCCCCTCTCAGCCCCGCTCCTCCACGCTCCTCTCGCTTTTACCCTCTCAGTCCGTTCCTCCTCCTCCTCCCCCGCCGCCCCCCGTGCCGGTCACGGAGCCCCCCCAGCGCCCCTGACCCCACGGTCACCGAGCGCCGGCAGCGCCGGGGGTGCGCGGAAAAGGAGGCTCGGGGTGACCTTGTCACCCTCTACAGCTCCTGAAAGAGGCTGGAGCCGGCTGGGAGGGTTGGCCTCTTCTCCCAGGCAACCAGCGACGGTACAGGACAAGAGGACATACTCTCAAGCTGCACCAGGGGAGGTTTAGGTTGGACATTAGGAGCAATTTCTTCACAGGAGGGGTTTCTGGACATTGGAACGGGCTGCCCAGGGAGGTGGTGGAGTCATCAGCCCTCGTGGTGTTTAAGGAAAGACTGGATGTGGCGCATGGTGACTTAGTGGTAGTTCGGTCACAGATTGGACTCGATCTCCTCAGAGGTCTTTCCCTCTGACAGCAGAGGAGCAGTCACCAGGTGGTCACACGGTGTGCTGGACAAGGAGCCCACCTTAGCACCTGCTGGCCCGCCTGACATCTGCTGGCCCTGCCACCCCTTCCAGGACAGCACAGCTCTGAACTCCTGCCCCGTTTGAGACCCTACAGACTCTTATTTCCATACACGTCCATCTTTAAAGGTGCCATACATAAATATCACGATAGGATATTCGAAGGATGATTTCGGAGAGAGGACTGATGGGCTGAACTCACTGCCACCTGACAGAGAAGAGGAATCTGGGTCTCACAGAATCATAGAATGGCTTTGTTTGGAAGGGCGCTTTAAAATGATCTGGTTCCAATCTCCCTGCCATGAACTAGCTTGCTTGCTTCCACTTCAAAGCCTTATCTAGCCTGGCCTTGAACAATTCCAGGCATGTGACATCCACAGCAACTCTGGGCAACTTGTGTTCGTGCCTCACCATCCTCACAGTAAAGAATTTCTTTATATCTGATCTAAATTTACTCTTTTTCAGTTTGAAGACATTTGCCCATGCTCTGTCACTCCATGCCCTTGTCAAAAGTTCTTCTCCAGCTTGCCTGAAGGCTCTTTAGGTAAAGGAAGGTGCTCTAAATTCTTCCCAAAACATTATTTTCTTCAGGATGAATAGCCACAGCTCTCCAGTCTGGCTTTACAGAATAGGTACCCCAGCTTTCTGAGCATATTGGCTGCTCTTTTCTGGACTTGCTCCTTGCCATGCTGTCTCTGGGAATGGCTTGAGAGCAATTCTGTGGCAAAACAGCAGTAGATTTCAATTTGATCATGAAAATATTTCTGTTGCAGAGAACACACAAACATTTTTTCTCTCATTATTTCCAATATTGCACAAGCCTTTCCTATAATTTCAAGAGTTTCCAAGAGAAAACACACACTTTGAACACCAAGATTCAGCTCAACGAAACATTTTCAGGTGAATTGGAATGACCAGTAGTGAAAAAGAGAAATTATAAGCCCCTACACAAAGTGTCTACAGAAAAGTGAAATTAACCTCATGCCTTTTGAAAAACTAAGGGAAAACCAAGTCTTGTTTTCAACTGTGAGAGCAGACTTTCAATTACTTTTGCAAGTGGCATAAAACAGCTTAATTTGTTTTAAAGATGAAGCAGGAGTATGAATTGGTAACTGCTTTCACTATGACTGGAAATTAAAATTTGTGCGATTGCCTTGTAATTTACAGAATAGAAGTTAAAGGTACTTCCGTTGTAAAACGGTTTTAATCCTGTTTTACACCTACAGAGCGTGGAAGATACAGTTCATAGCAGGAGGAGAATACAATGAAAATCTGCTGCCAATAGCATGAGGTGCTGTCTGGCTTCTTGCAAAGTTTAAGGCACATATAACATTATCTTTGCAAGACTGCATTTAGATTTTCAAGTAGCAAAATACCATCGAATGATTAAACTAGAGTAAACTGAAAATACAACACTGAATAAGTGCCTAAAACATGCACAATTCCCTCTTGCTTGTGCCTAGGCAACCAAAGCAACATTTAGAGGATGCATACATACAATTACATGTGTCCTGTGCAAACCCACATAGCAAATATCCTTTCAAGTAGTAATGATGTAGCAAAAAGCTCCAGTGATTTAATCACTCATGCACAAGCTGCCACAGTGTGTTGATATACAATCTAGAATTAGAACATCCAAACCCCATTCCTGTTGCAGCTCCAGCTGTGGTGAAGAGAACAGGGTCTCCTGTTTTCACATGCAGTATTCCTTCTTGCAAGGACAGAAGTAATAGGATTATGGAGTCATACCCCTTTTAGTAAAACTACTTGCCAGAAATATATTGTGGAATAAATTCTTCCCAAAAGGAATAGCTTCATTTATGCCATCCCCACAAGACCAAAATGAGAGAAGAACTGAAGCCGCTGACTCTGGGCTGTATTGTTCTCTGGGTATATCATAATTTTGCACCTCCTTGACTTCTGCCAATAATTTTGTGCATATTGATTTCTTCACAGAAATATTTTTTCCATTACTGTCTTCCTCTATAAGTCAGTTTTATGTGGAAGTGTGCCTTTCTGATATTAATGCCTAGCAACAATCCTTCATACAGAATTATTTGCAGATTTTAAGAACTATTCTTCATAATTCATGATTTTTAAAGCACTATTTATTTTCAGTTTCATATCCCATCTTCTCTATTCCAGAAAGATGACTCTTGGTGTCTCAGGTTAATTAAGACCCCCTTTTTTATTTCTCTCCTAGCTTTCTTTGAGGATCTTAAAATAATTAATACCAAAGAAAGTAATCATATTTTGAAATATGGCAAGTGCCCCATCAGAGGGGATAATTAAATGCAAAGACTATATTAAATAAGCTTGCCCAGGTGTTTCATTGAATGAAGTAAATTTGTTTAAACATTATCTTCTGTAGGAAGGATTAGGCTGCTTTACTGTTTTTGTGCATCTAAATTCATCTCAGGGCTTATCAAATTTGCTGAGTGCATGTCTGCATTTAGAAATGATTGAATCATGTGAACAGAGGTTCTCACTGAAAACAGAAATGCTTTCAGGCATCCAACATGCTTTAGCCTTAGAAGCATAATCTGATTAAAAAACAAAACAACCAAAAAAAAAAACCAAAAAAAACAAGCAACCCAGCAGGTAATAAAGTTTTCAAGTAGAAAGTTAGACAAAGAGAATTTAGATTCATTCATTCTTGTCATAATGGCCATATATAACACTTATTTTCAAGATAAAACCAAAATAAGGCTGTTTTAGCAGCTGGAAATTCACAGGCTCACTTTTGAGTCAACATCCTCCTGATATACTGTATCATAGCAATATGTAATAGCCTCTTGAGGGACACTGCTGTCCAGTCCAAAGAAGAAGACAGGGAAGAAATGAACTCTCCTTTATCATCAGATTTAAGGTACTCTGTGTAGTGGTATTTACCTTGTTATGAGAATGAGGTTGCTCACCTGGAGTCTGGATTCTGCTCCATGCAAGGCAAAGCAGGTACAAAACTGGAGTCCTCAACAACCCTGTGGGAAGACACCACTTCTGGCCAGCTTAGAGCACGGACATGTGTCTCTTGCCTATTTCAAAGACTTTTATTCCACTACAGTGTGAAAATATTCAGGAAATACAAGCTCAGATCTTCACATGCCATGGGAATTTATGAGTCAGCCAGTTGTAATACAGCACAACCTCCTCTCACCAGTAAAGAAATACAAGAAAACAATAAGCTTAGAAATTGGGATACAAAACCTTAGAGGGTGCTTGTGTGGAGGCGATGCACAACCATCTCATAAAATGTCAGAATCTCAATAATCAACTAGAATTGCTGGGATGAGAGGTAATGTTAGAAGGTTATTACACAGCTACCTCTTTGCTAGCCCTGTGCAATATGTGCAGTTGCAAGTTCTGGCACAATCATTGCAGCACTGTTACAGCTACACTGTACTAAAGTACATCTAAAAATGTGTCATCCAGAGATGATGCTTTGTTTATCAGTGCTACATCGCAGGTAGCAACCCCATTTATAAGTGCTTTTCAGAATAATTTGGTCTCTGTTCTACCACGTGTAGATGAGCCATCAGGTAATGGTGGAGTTAAGTAGCATTGATCACAGCTGTACCTCAACTCAAGCCCACATCGGGGCTGTCAGATAATAGGACTTATGAACAACATCAGTCTTCTTTGTTGACAGCTTGTATACTGATCTGTCTTCCAGTGCAATTGGGCTTCAGTAGCATTTGAATGAGAGTCACTCTAGTTCTACTAAAAGAAGGAAAATTATATATGGGTTTATTTTCAAACATCCCCATGTGTGAATTAGGTGAGCAGAAATACTATACATGTACAGGCACAACTCTTCTTGGTGTCCAAAATTAGGGGCCTCTCTGGATTGCATGTACAGATTGTCCCCATTAGTGCACCTAGCCCTGGTTCCGTAATATGAAACCCTATTTTAATTTATATGAAATGAATACATTAATCCAAATGATGCCAGCCCTGTATGCAACTTCAAAACCATTATTCTAATAAATAATTTTCTTCACATAACAAACTCTCAATACATGATCTTTAGTTAACAAGACTGATGTGCAAAGAAGTTCCTGTTCACAGATTTCTATTGCTTACTAGATAGAAACATGAACAAGGTATATGTTAGTGAGGTACTTCAGAATTAACACTTCAGTCTTTGCAATTAGTTATAAATCTCTCAGATTGCCACCTTATGTAGGCATTTGCAATTAGAGTGAAGAATAAATCTGTGCCTGTGGACTCTGGGTAACCCAAAGCAATACAAGAGTATTGTCAAAAGACCATCCAGGCTCACTAGGAACAGTTTAACTCTGTTTGAAGCTTTGTGCTATGCAAGTCAAGGTCACCCAGTCACTATTTCCTCTTTTGAATCTTGGATGTAAATTGCCTGACGAGAAAAGAAACAACATTACTTCTGCCCATTAAAAGAGTACTGAGAAAAAAGATCAAGGCTTGTCTTGCTGCTTGGCAAACAGCACAGCTTTCAGCAGCG